CCAACATCCCTTAAAATATCTTCTTTTGTGTTCAGTAGAAGAAAGAAACTCATACAGGTTAAAGTCCTTTAGTCAAAACAACTTGAGGGTGTGTAAATAATGACAAAATTTTCATTTTTGGGCGAACAATCCCTTTAACATTACTTAATTACATTAGTTAATGATGAAAAACACTTCTAAAAGCATCAATTTAATGTTCATTTCAACATTTAGTAATACATTAGTAAAAAACACTAGCAATAAATGTTATTTAATGGACCTGAGCTCACATGAACTAAAACAAAGTTGTATTTTTATTAACTAACATTAACAAAGATTAATAAATACTGTAACAAATGTATTTTTAGTTAATGATAATTAATGCATTAACCAATGCTTATTTTTTTTATGGTGTAACAAATTATTTCCTCATCTTATTTAAATTAGAGACAGGAATAAATAAATGCACATAAGCTCAATTAAATCTTAAACGTCAACATAAAATGAAAATTGATACACATTCTTGGTCTAACTGTGTAATTCATCAGTGCAAATCACTTAAAATTAAATAAACTTGGTCTTCATTATCTTTTATCAAAATGGTTCTGGAAATGGCAACTTTCCTTGAATTATGTCACGAAACTCCTCCCATCCAACAATCATTCTGATCTCCCACTTTCCATGATCCAGTCAATAGGCTTTATGCACAGCTGCACTACTTCCTGAATTTCAGCCAGCTCCTTTGTTTCCTGTCTGCCATTATTGGACAAACTGACTAATCCAGGTGTGCCTGGCCTCAGTAACAATAATCAGATACACCTGGATTAATCAGTTTGTCCAATAATGGCAGACAGGAAACAAAGGAGCTGGCTGAAATTCAGGAAGTAGTGCAGCTGTGCATAAAGCCTATTCCCAATGGATAAAATTCCTGCCTTACTTTTGTTTTACATGATGTGAAATGGATGAGTTGAGTGCTACTCACTTGCTGAAGTCTGCTGGCGATGGTGTGCTGTTCCCTTTCAGAGGCCAAACTGAGTTCTGACAGGAAGCACCTAATGGACATAAAGGCGGTTATACGACAGTGTTTGCCCTCTTTTAAGAGTAACGCCACTTGGTGAGGTTATTTAAAAAACTTCAGTTGATCAAATAATGACTTTTGAGAAACATACCCCGAAGTCTTTCTCTAACCATCTGGCTTCGGTCTATGAGATGAGCAGAATCATTTGGGCTTTTTTCAGCCTAGAAAACAAAAACAAAAAACAGTGCTCAGCAACTATTATTGTTAAGTAATGGCAGATCCGTATTCAAAAGGAGAAGTATTCATAGATTGTTTTAAAATATTTCCATTACAAACACTAAAATATGTAAGATAAACAGAACTTTTAGAGAACCTACACTCAAAAAAATATTCCAGCTGGTTTTTAAGATTTGCAATTGTATAGTAAAATTCCATCAAATTCAATTGAATAATCCTTACATATTATTCATATTATCGATTAAGAATTTTAAATGAGTAAAATTAAATTGTTCGTATTCATAAATTAAAAAAAATTAAAATTTATGAAGCGAATCACATAAACGGAAATGGTCCATTCCCTTCTTCCATTAAAATTTATACAAAATGTTTTAATCTTTATTTTAAATTCTTAAATGCACTGAATATGCACCCAACGTGGTGCATATGGTGTAACGTGGTGTAACGTGTAAGCAGGGACAAAGAGAGGTGTGAATGTAGTTGCAGAAGTATTTATTGAAAATGAAAACAAAGATAATGGAACAAGAACAGGAAGAGGAACAAGAACAGGAACAGGAACAAGAACAGGAAGAGGAACAAGAACAGGAACAGGAAGAGGAACAGGAAAAGAAACAGGAAGATGAACAGGAAGAGGAACAGGAACAGGAACATGAACAGGAAGAGGAACAGGAACAAGAACAGGAACAGGAAGATGAACAGAAAGAGGAACAGGAAGAGGAACAAGAACAGGAACAGGAAGAGGAACAGGAAGAGGAACAAGAACAGGAACAGGAACAGGAAGAGGAACAGGAAGAGGAACAAGAACAGGAAGATGAAGATGAACAGGAAGAGGAACAGGAAGATGAACAGGAAGAGGAACAGGAAGAGGAACAGGAAGAGGAACAGGAACAGGAAGAGGAACAGGCAGATGAACAGGAAGAGGAACAGGAAGAGGAACAGGAACAGGAAGAGGAACAGGCAGATGAACAGAAAGAGGAACAGGAAGAGGAACAAGAACAGGAAGAGGAACAGGAAGAGGAACAGGAACAAGAACAGGAAGAGGAACAGGAGGAGGAACAAGAACAGGAAGAGGAACAGGAAGAGGAACAGGAACAAGAACAGAAAGAGGAACAGGAAGAGGAACAAGAACAGGAAGAGGAACAGGAAGAGGAACAGGAACAAGAACAGGAAGAGGAACAGGAGGAGGAACAAGAACAGGAGCAAGAACAGGAAGATGAACAGGAAGAGGAACAGGAACAAGAACAGGAACAGGCAGATGAACAGAAAGAGGAACAGGAAGAGGAACAAGAACAGGAAGAGGAACAGGAAGAGGAACAGGAACAGGAACAAGAACAGGAAGAGGAACAAGAACAAGAACAGGGAGATGAACAGGAAGAGGAACAGGAAGAGGAAGAGGAACAGGAAGATGAACAGGAGGAGGAACAGGAAGAGGAACAGGAAGAGGAACAATAACAGGAACAATAACAGGAACAAGAACAGGAACAAGAACAGGAACAGGAAGATGAACAGGAAGATGAACAGGAGGAGGAAGAAGAAGAGGAACAGGAAGAGGAACAAGAACAAGAACAGGAACAAGAACAGGAACAGGAAGATGAACAGGAAGAGGAACAGGAAGATGAACAGGAAGAGGAACAGGAAGAGGAACAAGAACAAGAACAGGAACAGGAACAGGAAGATGAACAGGAAGAGGAACAGGAGGAGGAACAGGAACAGGAGGAGGAACAGGAACAGGAAGAAGAAGAGGAAGATGAACAGGAAGAGGAACAGGAAGTATAATAGAAGAACAGGAACAGCTTCACACAACGTACAAAGTGAACAACCGACAAACCAAGACTGAAACAATTGGGTATATATACACTCAAAGGGAGATTGGCAAACAAGACACACCTGGGAACAATCAGGAACTAATCAACTAAAAAAACTACAAAGGACTACAAAACATGGAGCAAGACAGAAAATAACATAAAAGTCCAGGAACACAGAAGACGGGAACACAGGTTGGAATCATCACACACTTGTAGTGTACTTCAAATCTTAAAAGTATATAATATTACTTATAGTATATAATTTAATATATTGATGAACCAAAAGGACTTTTAAAATGTGAACTTTGTAATAATGTCAAATAATTTTTTTTTTAAAAGTGCATTTTGAATTATTATGTTTTAATAATCTTTTGTTGTGCTTTAAAGAAGTACATCCATTTTGATGTGTTGACTAACATACTAAAGCACGTGTAAAGTATTTGATTATAATTTTAACTCTATTGTGTTATTTGATATTACACTTACACAGTTAATATATTTTAAATGTACTAAAATGCAACTTTATCATTACAAAAGTGAGATTACAATACATTTAAATACACGACATACAAGTTTCACTAGAAATAGCCTAACATTAAAGTATATTTTAGTTGACCATAAATGTCAGCATTCAGCAGTACACTATAGTAACCATATTTCAAAGACAAGAGAATTAATTATGAAATTACATATACAGATGTAGGCTACTTAAGTGGGTCATTTTCAACTCATTGCATTTAATATACATTTTAAACTATAATACATTTCCATTTAATTGTAAATAATTTGCAATTAAGTGTCTGAAAACATTGTTTCAGTGCTAGCTGGTAATCTAATGTTTTCATGCTGTATTAAAGGGTTAGTTCACCCAAAAATGAAAGTGATGTCATTAATGACTCTCCCTCATGTCGTCCCAAGCCCGTCAGACCTCCGTTCATCTTCAGGACACAGTTTAAGATATTTTAGATTTAGTCCGAGAGCTTTCTGTCCCTCCTTTGGAAATGTATGTCCGGTATACTGTCCTTGTCCAGAAAGGAAATAAAGACATCATCAAAGTAGTCCATGTGACATCAGTGGGTTAGTTAGAATGTGTTGAAGCATCGAAAATACATTTTGGTCCAAAAATAACAAAAACTAGGACTTTATTCAGCATTGTATTGTCTTCCGGTTCTGTTGTGGATCCGCGTTCAGTGCCACTGCTGACGTAAGACGCTGCTGATGTGTGTCTGGTGTGTGTGTGTGTGTGTGTATTCTGGTTCTGTTGTGGATCCGCGTTCAGTGCCGCTGCTGACGTAAGACGCTGCTGACGTGTGTCTGGTGTGTGTGTGTGTGTGTGTGTGTGTATTCTGGTTCTGTTGTGGATCCGCGTTCAGTGCCGCCGCTGACGTAAGACGCTGCTGACGTGTGTCTGGTGTGTCTGGTGTGTGTGTGTGTGTGTATTCTGGTTCTGTTGTGGATCCGCGTTCAGTGCCGCTGCTGACGTAAGACGCTGCTGATGTGTGTCTGGTGTGTGTGTGTGTGTGTGTATTCTGGTTCTGTTGTGGATCCGCGTTCAGTGCCGCTGCTGACGTAAGACGCTGCTGACGTGTGTCTGGTGCGTCCGTGTATTCGGGTTCAAATAAATATGCCTGGGCAAAAAAATGCTGAATAAAGTCGTAGTTTTTGTTATTTTTGGACCAAAATGTATTTTTGATGCTTCAACACATTCTAACTAACCCACTGATGTCACATGGACTACTTTGATGATGTCTTTATTTCCTTTCTGGACAAGGACTGTATACCGTACATACATTTCCAAAGGAGGGACAGAAAGCTCTCGGACTAAATCTAAAATATCTTAAACTGTGTTCCGAAGATGAACGGAGGTCTTACGGGCTTGGGACGACATGAGGGTGAGTCATTAATGACATAATTTTCATTTTTGGGTGAACTAAAACTTTAAATGTTTAAATCACTGTAGATCGGCGTTACCTGCAGCACATCCTCGGCCATCTGTCTGATGGCTCTCTCTGGCCGGGGCAGGACAGCAGTCTTATGGTGATGTTCACACGTCTCCAGCAACGTCAGGAGGTTCACCCGTTTGTGAGCCACGTCCTCGCACATGCTCAATAAAAGGCTGTTCAGGTCGTCGCTGAGCTGGACAGGCTAACGGGAGACGGGGTGCAATAAGTGTTCAAGGAGTTTTACAAGTGTTCGAAGAAGTAGAAAACTAATAAACTCTTAACGTTAGCTAGTTTTGATCATTGATACATATAAATGCTAATTTTAAGAGGGATTCCTTACATCAAAAAGAGTTAAATTTGATTTGATGTTGACGTTACCCTCTGGTATTCCTCAAGGTCACACTTGTGATCATCGGCGAACAAAACAGACTGAACATAATAAGCTGAATTAAAAAAAAAAGGAAAGAAAAATAATGTACTAATGTTTGTTTTAATAATATTTATTCTTTAATATTTTGTATTTTGATGGGATTTCAAGCAGATTGGTGTCATCTGGTGGGAGAAATAAGGAAACCATACGTAATAGGGCTGTGTATTCCCAAGATGCCTATATGAGTATTTCAGACATAATTAATAGGTTCACATTTGGATATATATTTAGACATTATCAAAGAGTACTTCATCGTGGCTGATTGTACCTAATAAATTGCACTTTATTTTCATACCTTTTTGTATTTCCCAATTTATTTAATTTTTGGTAGTCATTTTTGACTGTGAAGATCCCAAGTGTGACGATTTTTATAGTCCATTTCTATTTCTATTAATGTCCAGATCCATTCCAAAAATTTAATTTAAAATTAAATTTAAATCTAAAATGACCAAAGACCACCAGATAATTGTGAAGAAGAGGAACCCACCTGATTTTGTGGAAGTTGATAATCTACTGCCCAGTAGAGAGTCATGCCTAGTGAGTAAACCACCATCTATAATCAGAGCAAACAAATGCTAAATTCTTTGCCATAAAACATGCTTCAAAAAAAGTGCATCTTCTACTTCACTTCAGAATGAAAATTTCCTGATAATTTACTCACCCCCATGTCATCCAAGATATTCATGTCTTTCTTTCTTCAGTCAAAAGAAATTAAGGTTTTTGAGGAAAACATCAGGATTTTTCTCCATACAATGGACTTCAATGGGGTCCAACAGTTTGAAGGTCCTATTGCAGTTTCAGTGCGGCTTCAATGAGCTCTACACGATCCCAGCCGAGGAATAAGAGTCTTATCTAGCCAAACCATTTGTCATTTTCTTAAAAAACAAAACATTTATATACTTTTTGACCACAAATGCTCGTCTTGCACTAGCTGTAATCACGTTGAAAGGTCACAATTGGCCCTTCAACCTGTCAGTCCCCAAATTAGGGGTGTAACGATACACAAACCTGACGGTTCGGTTCGTCCCACGGTTTTGAGGTCTCGGTTCGGTTCGGTTCATTTCGGTGGGGTGGGGGGGTTAAAGCTGCAGTCCATAACTTTTTTAAGTAAAAAATAATCCAAAATAATTATATTAAAAAAAACTTATTCTGCCAGTGGTCAAAACTATCTGCTTGCCATAGCTAGATTCAAAACGGTTAGCTTGTAATAATGTTTTTATTCCAGTGGTACTGGTGGGTTTCCGCAGGAAATTCGAGCATGTCTTTGCGTCATTACGTCATACCCGTACACATAAAGAAGGAGTTTCGGCTAGCCGGCTATACTGCGCGTGACGAGATGTTTAGATGTATAGGCTTTTCTCGCAGCACTTTACATAATTAAACTTATGGCATCCAGAAAGATCCAGACAACAATCATCAGTGTCAACTGGAGATTCAGCAGTTATAAAACCCAAAAGACTTCGTACTTCGGATTTGAGGTGGCTAGAGAAAGAGAAAGAAACCGTCTCATGCGAACACAAGGATTTAAACATCGGCGGGGCTTTTGAAAAGTGCGTGAACTCCGTGTTTTGAAGGGGTTCAAAACGGAAGAAGAGACGGCTTTTTTCTGCTGAACGAGTAAGACATTTCAATAGTTCAATCGTGTAACAGTACGTTTTCTTAATTCACACAGTTATGGAGTTTCCTTTGTTGTGCCTTTCTCGTTTTGCTATTATGGAGAATATGAATTCTGAACTACACAGGTAACCATAAAACACATTAAATTTAACATTAGTCAGACTGATCTCATGAAATGGCGTATGTATGACACGCTAATTCGTATTTCCATTTTTGGCGTGCTATCAACACGCATAATCGCTTTTCAGCGTGTTTATCAACGCCTTTGACTTAACGTTATATTACTGTATTATGTATATATAAATATATGACCTACCCCAACCCCGTCCCTAAACCTACCCGTCACTGGGGTTAATACCATTTATGAGTCTTCTCCTACCATCCTAGGAAAAGAAATATCGCTCCACAGATGTAGATATAGATTTTGCTTCGTTTTGCTCGGACATTTAACGGCGTACACATACACGCGGAATCAGTCGGACATTTAATGGCGTAGACATACACGCGGATAGCTAAAAATGCGTATAGATAACACGCCACTTGACTTGAAAGTGGCGTGTATGTTTACGCAAAGTCATGATGTCATGTTGCATTAGTCACGCAATGCTGATGTGATGTTGTTAACATGAACAATTTGAGAACAAAGTAGGCTATAATTTGCACGGTTGCTGTAAATCGCGTTGATTAAATCTAACGAAGCTTATCATGTCGAATGCTTTTCCCCCCTTAGTTGGTCAGAACAAAAATGGATGTTACTTACTTGTTCAGAAGACATTTTCTTATGAAAATTCTTATGTTGGTCAAACTTTCAAAAAGTGAATCTGTGATTCTGTATGACAGTATCCACACAGCGCGGTGACTGACAGCACCACTCGCCTCAAAGCACTGTGTTCATTCGCGCTGTTTCATGCCGATTTACAACCCACGTAAAGATGATAATTCCGCGAATCACTGCAGTTACAGATTTCGAACAGAGAGATGGCGACAAAGAGGAAAAGCTACGGACTGCAGCTTTAAAAAAGCTAAAATTGCTTTTATTTTTTATTAAACAGTGCTTTAATTAACAAATTGTGTCCTTGTCTTTAAATTAATTCAATTACAAGGAAACGTTTCTCAAGGATAACAAAATTATCTGCTAATGCTGTAAACTACAGCCCTTACTTGCACATTACTATAACATTAAAGCTTAACAACAGAGCCTAGATTTTTTGCCTAAATGATATAATAATAATCAACACTCAAATAACAAATTGTATGAAAACATGTAAACTGCACATAAGGCAATTTTTGCATTAACATGTTTTTACTCTAATTTGTTATTGTTATATAATAATTTACAGTTGCTGTTATTTTCATGACAACTATTTTAAACATACATTAAATAATCAAGATATCATAAACAGGTTAAGTAAAATATAATATATAGGCTAATATATAGCATTTATTTAGTGAAAGAGTTAGCAAACCAGCAAGCTGTGGACCCTGAATGACTTGCCTGAGGTAAATATAAAGCTATGTGAAAAACTAAGCGTTTTATGACGTATTTCCGCTGTTGAAACACTGATTGAGTGTTTACACGAGTTATGGTGCCTTTCAGTAAGTATACTGTATCTTTCAACATACCTTCGGGTGTCCATTCATGTTTATTCTGTAACTGAGGAAGAGATGATCGCGCTCCGTCCGCGCTGCCGCATGCATTCAGTGACATCTGTCACGCCACATCTAAGAGCGCCAAAACGGCATTTATTGTTTGCATTTCGTGATCAAATGGACATAATTTGAAAGATTACACCTTGCTTATTATCAAAAGTAACAAAACACTGAGCTTATTGCGATTATTTGTGGTTAATGGTGGTTAGGCAACAGCCCTGTATTCGTTGTGTACACATAACACATGAGGTGCAATGAGCCGGGGCTGGGCGGGGCAGCAGGGGGCGGGGCGTGTTCGGTTCGCCATGAGAGTATCGCGATACGTATCGTGGGTGGTGTTGTATCGCGGTTTTTCGGTTCGGTTCAAATATCGTTACTTACACCCCTAGTCCCCATTGAAGTCACTATATAAAGAAAAATCCTGGAATGTTTTCCTCAAAAAACCTTAATTTATTTTCGACTGAAGAAAGAAAGATATAAACAGATGATGTGGGGGTGAGTAAATTATCAGGAAATTTTATTTCTGAAGTGAACTAATCCTTTGAAGGGTTAGTTCACCCAAAAACTTTGGGTTTCGAGTGCGCAACCCCCCCCCCCCCCCCCCAAATATCAATCTCCAACGCGCATTCACGAGAGCACCTGGAGTCACATGGATTACTCTAAAATGTGTCTTTACAGGCTTTCTGGGGCGTGAATGTGGTAGTTGAGTAGCTGTCAATGGAGGGACAGAAAGCTCTCAGATTTCAACATAAAGATCTTCATTTGTGTTCTGAAGATGAAAGAAAGTCTTACGGGTTTGGAAAGACATGAGCGTGAGTAATTAATGAGAGGATTTTCGGGTGAACTGAGCCTTTAAGACACTGACCACTCCTTCTCTTAAAGGTTGTATCAGCGATTTCAGGCCCAAAAAAGGCCCAAACATAAACGATCACATTAATCTAATCTTTCCTAACGATCCGCTAGCTGCCCGCTCCATAAGCAGGCCATCAAAAAAACACGTCTCTGTAGGCAGCCTATAGGCTATGAGATCTGCACACAAAACAATTGGGTTCACCAACCACTCAAAACCAAAATAAATAGCGTTCCAACCAATCACCGACAGGGGGTGTGTGTTGCGCTCGTGCACAGCTGAAGAAGAAGCCAGCGTCTATCAACGAACCCATGTCAGTGATTGGTTGGAACTATTTATTTTGGTTTTGAGTGGTGAACCCAATACGCTGATTTCACGCAGCCGCCATTTTGAAATTGCTCCGGTGGCAAGAAAACCGGAAGTGTCGCTTTTAATCATAGGAGAGTCGCGAATGCGATGGCGTATTGTTGTGTTTAATGTAGAAATTAGTTATTCTAAAAATTTACATACATTTCTTTCATACTTTAGACTATATACAGTTAAAATTCATTTATAAATAAAATTAATTTTCTATATATAATTCATAAAACGTAAAAAAAGAAGCAGGAACAAACTATATACATATCCTATATTGGATATAAACATCCAATAGTGTAAATCGCGGCAGCAGCTTCAGGTTGGTAGTCCAAGACATTGTTGTTTATCTGTACTTCCGGGGTTCTTCCAGCCTGGTTAAAACCAGACCATTCTCAGTTGTAACTGAGTTATGGTCTGGCAAAAAGCGTCATAGACAAATCATTTCCAGAGAGGCGTCACCAACGGACGTCGCGGATAGACCTAAACCCAATCAGAGCGATGAAGGAGATGACGTATGCAGAGCGGCGGAGAAACATCTCCGAGTGTTGTTCTTTGCTCGGTTTTTAACAAAAAGGAAACGTTCAAATGGCTTAAAACAGACGCGATAGCTGATTGGAACGAGTGATGTTCGACGGCGGCATCCATCTTTGTAATGTAGGCTACAAAATCTGCTTCAAAATCCCAGCGCTGTCGTCATCGTGTAAAGCCCGCCCCAACGCTTCTGATTGGTGCCGCGATTTCGACGGATTGGAAATGGGCTTGAATGAGCTCTTTGCCAGACTAACTTTCAGAGCAAATCTACATTTGCCGGAAGTTGTCTGGGTTTTCCCAGGCTAGGGTTCTTCCCACCGGAGCCTCGCTTTCGATTTCAAAATGGCGGCTGCGTGAAATCAGCGTACTGTTTTTGTGTGCAGATCTCAGAGCCTAGGCTGCAGAGACGCGTTTTTTTGACGGCCTGCTTATGGGGCGGGCAGCTAGCGGATCGTTAGGAAAGATTAGATGAATGTGATCATTTATGTTTGGGCCTAAAATCCCTGATACAACCTTTAACATTCAGCAAGAAGGTCAGTAGGCCAACTCACCTTCTCCGTGGCCTGTCTCCTGGGGGAAGTGTTGCTCTGTGACAGTTCTGGGGAAGTGAAGGATCCCACGGCCTCAGATCGGCCACAGGTCTTGAAGGCAATCCTGCCGACTGCAGAAAGGAGCATGGAGCCGGGGCTGATGACACAGCACATGTTACCAGGATCTAGATAAAGGGAAGGAGGTACAATGGTGACAGATTGTGTTGGCAATGATGGATAAGAGCATGAAAAAGAGTTGAAAGAGCGTTCTACCTTTACTGGAGATGTCTATCAAGACTTCTGCAGCCCCTAGGAGGAGAGCCCAGACCTCGTCCTCCTCCAGAGGTGCTCCTCGTGACTCCAGCACCTCCGCCAGGGTCACAAACATGCTCATTCTGCCAGACGCAAAACACACACAAGCACATTACAATAGCACACACACACATGCATGAAAAGGTTGAGTTGGATTTCATAACTGGTCTTCCCTCCCTACCTACACTTTAGCATACTTTTAAAAAGAGTATGGAATAATACACTTTAAAAGTGTGAACTGAATGTAATTTTTACAGACACTTAATTGCATGTTATTTACAATTGAATGAAAATGTGTTTTAGTTTAAATTCATATTAAATGCAATTAGTTGAACTTAAGAGTGCTTTTTTGATCTTTATATGTTATTACATATTTACTTTTATGGCAATTTAGCATTTATGGCAAACTAAAATATACTTAAATGCCATTTCTGTTGTAAATTGTATGTCATGGTTATTTTATTTACTACATTATTTACATTTATTTTAGCTACACATTTGATGAAGTTGAAATTTAGTATATTAAATTTAAATGCAATATCAAATAACACACTACAGTTAAATCATAATCAAGTCATTTTTAAATCAAGTTTTATAATCAAGTATGTGCTTTAGTCTGTTTGTCAACACATGAAGATAAGTGTACTTCTCTAGTAAAGCATGACAAAAGATTATCAAACTTACACTGTAAAAAAAGGTGGCTGCCTTAAATTTTTAAGTAAAATCAACTTGGATGTTTAAGTCATTTCAACTTAAATTACATCAAACTGACTACTTTCTGACTCTTGTATAACATAAAAAAAGTAAAAAAAATGATGAACTTTTTTGATAAGTTAAAGCAATGTCATAACTTATTGATCATATAGCCTACTTTTTTACAGTGTAACGAGTCAAAATATACTTTGACATTATTACAGAGTTCACTTTTTAAAGGTGTACTTATGAAACAGTCAGTTTTCTTTTTTTAAATATACTTTTAAGATTTGAACTAGCTTACTACAAAGTACATATTCAACTCAACAAAGCCTTGGATTTCATAACTGTTTTTCCCTTGTTTGGCAAGAAACACCTTCAATCTTTTCTTTAGACTCCAGGTTCTTTGACTCGTAATGCCAATTAACTTTTGAAGACATCGTTAGCCTAGGGTTTTACATACCCTTTCCACCCTTGAGAACATTACAAAATTTGTTCACATATCATTGTGTTTTACTTGCAGACTATCTTTCTTGGCTGTTGCTTATTTGAAGGTCCCATTTAGATCCCATTTAATGACCAATGTATGCAGAAATCCATGGAAAATCCACATTAATTGTATACTTTTTCCTCAAGTACTCCCTTCCATAAGCTAGCAACATATTTGAGTACCATTTTGAGTGTCCATATGAAAGTCAATGGGGTCCAAAACAACACTGGACCCCGTTGACTTTCATTTTTTAGAGAAAAAGCATGGACACATGTTTAAGCATTTTCTTTTGTGTTACACATTAGGAATGACAAGAGTGTGAGCATATTATGACAGAATTTTCATTTTTGAATGAAATGTCCCTTTGATTGCAGATGACTGCAACCTAAACTTTAAAAGGTCCATCATTACACTACATGTAACCTTCATTGCATTTGCATTTGCGCAAGCTATGATTAGCGAAAGCACAGTCTCCAGCAAACCTCTTTACTAAAGGAGTTAAATGAGGGAAATACCTCGCTTGCATAGAACGTAAGAAAGCACTAAACACTGCACATCTTCTCTTCATCATGTCAGTCTCGCTTTTGCACACTTGCATGCAAGACTTCTCCAGTAATTGGCTTTGACAGAGGTGGATTTGCTCTAATGTGTCTTCTAACTCAAGTTAAAGCACCATAAAAATGCTAATTAAAAGACAGTTGTCATTGACATCCATGCTGTATGTTACAAGATATGACAATTTCCTCCAAAAGAATGAATGAGGTTTTTTTTCCAGTTGGATGCTGGCTCAAAGAAAGGTTAATCAGATGATCTTGTGCTGGAGTACTAATTAACACGCAAATTGGCTTGCAAAGGTTGAGTCTAAATATTTTCAATATTACTTTAAAGCATCTTGTTCTACTGTATAAGATTAATTTATATATTTATTTGTAATTGCATTTATGCAGTAAAATGCCGGTTGCCCTCCGTAGAGGATTAGCATGACTTTTGCCCCTCAGGACTGTCACTTGCATTGAATAATGGAGTAGAAACAGTGGTAACACTTTAGTTTAAGGTCCAATTCTCACTAACTAGTTGCTTATTAGCATGCATATTACTATACTGGCTGTTTATTAGTACGTATAAAGCACATATTAATGCCTTATTCTGCATGATCATATTCTACATCCCTTAATCACCCAATACCTAAACTACCTTACTAACTATTAATAAGCAATAATTAGGAGTTTATTAAGTCGTAGTTAATATAGTTAATAGTAAGAATTGGACACAAATCTAAAGTATGACAGTCTTTCCTTTACTACAATACACTAATTTCAAGAGAATCACCTCAACCGTATACAATTGAAATGAATGTTTGTCATGATTTTCTCTTCTTGACAGAATGATACTGTGATTAAAAACTTGCTGCTGCACTGAAATATTAACGTTGGCAAAAAAGCATCACCTATCTTGTCTGGACTATATGTAAATGTTGTGTTGAAAAGAATCAGATGTAGGCCACAGCCTACTGTTTCTCAAGCAAAGGGTATTATAACTGCCATGTATGAATAGGCAAAACACTCTAAACTTCATTATTGTACCTGCCATAAATGGTATAACTGTGCCAGAGGGCTTACAACTGTTTTGCTAAGGGAAAATAATTTGTTATTAAGATAATGCTGTTAAATATATATTAGAGAGAAGATGTGCCCATCTCATTCCAGTTTTATGTTCGCCACTAATACTGTGCTTCCCACATTTTTTGTGTGTGCTAAGAAATTGTATTTATCTATGACTATGTAACGTTAAACGTTCAAGGACAAGTTGCAAAGCATGTTTACCTTTCTTCATTCGATATACGCAGAGTTGTCCTCCGGATATCGTCTGCTCAGTAAAAATCCTTTCAAACATCTTGCTCTGTCCCTCTCAATTAGCCTACATACCGACAAAAACACTCTTTTTATAATTATCGATATCACCGTTGTTATACAGGAGCATTTCCTCCATTGAAATGTTGTCGCTGCCGTGTTTTAGCTTAATTAGTCCTATTCTTAGAGTCCAGCCATAAGAACTCAATTGGATTAGAAAAGGCCAGTGGGCGACTAATCAGTGTGTCCAAACCCCCCAGACCTTCACTAATCTAACTCAATAGATGTGAACTGTGACAGTTTCACTACTGTCCTGTACAGTATATTCTCATGATGCATTTACAGAATCTTATGTATGATTGAAAGGTTTTAGAGGGATATCCATCGGATGCGTTACATTTGTCGCATGAATTACTGAATTATTATACACACATTGTCATGGAAAATAAATAATAGGATGCAGCTTTCCAAGTGCAAACATGCATTAAAACACACACACACACACACACACGCACACGCACACACACACACGCACACACACACACACACACACACACACACAATGCGTGTATGTTTCTTTATAACATATTTTTAATGCTATTTTGCTTCCATAACGTCTTTCTTCAGATTAGTTGAAAGAAAGCATCCCAGAAATACACATTTAAGTACAATACGTTTTCTCAAAAAAGATTTTTTTTCTTCTTCAGAAATCTCCACTTCAGCAGCAATTTCATGCACCAAACTTTATAAGTTTTAAAGCCCTTTGAGTGCCAAGAAAAGTGCTTTATAAATGTAATTTGAATTTTTATTATTATTATAGATTTAAATTGCTATCTTCTAAAGGCGTTTACAGGTTTGGTCATTTATCATTTGGCTGATTTATGTAACTTTTTTTTTTTTTGGCTATTGTAGTAGGCCTATTTCTGATTTTATGTAGTGATCACTGATCATCCAAAAGAGAATTCCTTAACGTAAACATAAGTAGATAATGTGTCATTTGTAGTATATGTAAACACCATTTGTAGCTGATAGAAAACATTTATGATTAATGAACTGGGGAAGTTAAACTTCTTGTCCAGTCTTGACATCTTCAAATGTTTTAGAAGGTACAATGTTGATGTACTGGTTTAGTATCTGTGTTAGTTATGAAATCTAACAAGAAACAGTCAAAGAAAGCCTTAGCTATAGCGATTTCTTTCAGTAGTCAGTACAGTAGTACACAAGCAACGCGACGTCATCGCACGACCTCGATGACGTCGGGAAGAACGCAGAAACTGCGCACGTCACAGTCACGCAGAGTTACGGTGACGTAGTACGCAAGTGTCCGCAGCTCAAGGCCTGCCAGTGGACGGAAGCAGTGAGCGCAGAGCTTGTGTCTTCAAGTGGAAAACAAGACGAATACAACGAACTGCTGTGCTCTGTGTAAAGAAGACACTTGTCCTTTTATGAATCATCTCTTGAATTGTCTGTATATCTTTTAAGAGGGTGAGTAAACACTTGCAGTTTTACCGCTGATGTTTTTAAGGTGGGTTGTGGGGGAGGGTAACCCTGAATTGCTGCTGTAAAACACCACAGTAAACACCGTTGACTCGCTAGTTTAAGCTGGTCATTCGCGAGAATAATATCTTAGCGCGTTATTTCACTTATTGTGGATTAGTGTGTTTTACAGTATGTTGTACAATGTACCGAATCGATATGGCACATGGATTGAGACCGTGGTAGTATATATACTTATATATACGTTATATACTCCATGGTACTGGATACAATGATATTTACATGGTACTTTACATCAAATATCATAGCAAATGTCTTAAACATGGTATTTTATGGTACTAAAACATGGTAAATCTACCCATTTGTCACTCTGTAAATGACATGATGTGTACGTTTGAGATCCTAGATTGAATACTGACATTGCCTGTGTCTCAACCTAGTGAGCTGACAGCATTTTTTCTTAAGTTAACACGCCTATGATGCCCCAAAAATGCTGTTTATGTTTATGCTCGTTGAGTTTTGAGAGACAGCCATGCATAACTCGCTGTGTTCTGATAGTACAGAACAGAATGTCTTTCACAGTATACATACAGCAGTTTTGATTTGATTTCAATGCAGTGTAATGGACCCATCTGGAGGTGTGAGGGGTCAGATCAGAGAAATGGATGGATGGTGTTGTGAGATGTTGAATTCAGGGCATTTGGGTGCGGTTCTCAATATTATTTTAAGAGATGATTGACACTTTCCATTCACATTGATGTTAAAGAATGCAGTCTCTGAAATCTGAAGTATGAATTAAAATTCAATTAAAACCTGATCCCTCAGGTATTGATGCACCATTGAACAGTGTGCTCAAATGTGTTAATCTGGATAAGATTTAGTCCAGTTTAGGGCTGCAACTACTAGGCCTAATTAATGATAATCAAAAATGAAAATAATAAGCAATGGGTTTTATCATCAATTAAGTTTACAGTGGTGAATAACACATTTCTATGGACAAACAAAGCGCATCTGAAATATAGCGGAGGACACATGGTGCATTCAAGTCATTTTGGATAGATTGAATTTATGAGTGAACCGACGCCACCAAAAAGTGGTAAATACAAGTGGGAACTAAGCTCGGGATTTTCTTTAAGCCCGAGTTTACAAATTGGAGGCACGTCAGTGAGAGAGAAACATGTCGTAATACAGCAATAGTTAAAGGTATTTAGCAGTGACATTGTCAGCTTTTTTTATTTACAACAAAATAGGATTGTAATATGTGTAAAAAATAAAGTTTACAGTGACTTCATAAATTAATTAAAAGCATAAAAAGCAAAACACCCTATATGCACATTCCTTGTTTTTAATTATTTAAAATTAAAGTCGATTTTTTTGTATTTTGTGTAGTTAATTTAGAGAAGGGACAGCCTTGAACGCACCCGACGTCGTAAATACGTCCTTCCCAGGAGGACTTTAACGCACCAATAATATGAGTTATTGTGAGAGAAGTTTAGTCTGGTAAGAGTTAATACCACCAGTTAACATTTTGTCTACGCTTTCGTGTTTCTTTTTTATAATTTTTATGTTTAGTGATTTTAACTTAAATATTGTGGACAAGCAGTTGTTTTTTGGTTTTACAATGTAATGTTTCCTCTTTTTTTTTTTGCATGTTGTGTTAAGCATAGCCTACGGAAGCCATGTTTCCATCCACTTGTCAATCGAATTATCTTAAGTTCAGTAAAAAACCTCATGCGAATAAAGCTGGTGAAAGTGTGTTTCCATCAAACGGCTTTAAAACGGATAAAAACCTGTGCGTAATGACGTCACATGCTGTTTTGCGATCAAATTGGTATATCGAATTGATTTGAGACATGTTAAGGTGTTTCCATTCATTTTCTCACCGAATTGCACAACATCCAAGCCAACATTTGCGAACAAAGTTTTACTAGGCAAAATGGATCGCACCATAATAACGTTTCCATCCGCGTTTATCACATTATATCGATCAAGATAAAATCCGATGAGACCGATCGTATTTCATTTGAGTCGATATTCATGAAATTCAATCGAATTTGACTGTTTCCATAAGGCATTTTTCATTCGATATCACTTAATGCGGATAAAAACGTGTGGATGGAAACATAGCTACAGATAGAGATACATTCACTATATTTGTTGTCAGGATGTGGAATAACATTTAGGCTATTATAAAAAAATGCTTTTTGATTAATTGTGGAAATAAATAACCAACAGATAATCAATCGATTATTAAAATAATCATTAGTTGCAGCCCTTAATCTTCTATTCTGTACTGTATAATGCTTTTTAATGAGTTATTTTCCTGCTATTCTGATTCCTTAAGCATTTGTCAAAGACATGTATGTCATGTTAGGGATCCTTGATGCCTTGAGTGGAAAAAAATGCACCATGTGAACAGAAAACCACAGGCTGTCCTGAAATACCGGTGTAAAGAGGGCAAGTCGTGTTTGCGGCTGTCACTGCAGCATCCTCAGCATAATGTGCTACATTTGAGTAATGACTGTTCCAGCCTGGGTCATTTGTTTTCACAGTTCCCGGAGCAGTGTACCTGTTTAAATATGTATTTCTGCTTCAAGTCACTATAACGCTGACGATGCGTTAAGATGATGAGGCTTTGCTGATGCTTCTTAGGTCAGATTCGTCACCCACTTTCCACAGCGCTTTCGTGGCAGTGCATGAAGAAAATATTTTGATATTTTGCACCATTTTGATGATATTCAATATTTATCTTGATATTTATGCCTTTGCTCTGGATTTCTTTCATCTAGTTAAAAATAAAGCATGTATTTCATCATATTTCAGCTTCTTTCACAACTTGACGATCGGTGGATAGGGTCTTGGCGTCCGCAAGGGTAAAGGCCTGTTCACACCGGGACGAATTTCGTGCGCGATATTCGCCGACGTTTAACGCCTCGTGACTAAACAAAGGGCGCCAATGTGAGTGTGCACACCGACGCGAAAAACGCCACGCGTAAAAGTGTCATTTTTTTAAAGGGGTCATATAATGCCATTTTTGTACAAGCTAATATGATTCTTTAGAGTCTAAATTAAAACTTTGTAATATACTTTAATTAAAAATTCTCATTAGTATTGTAAGAAAACATGCCGTAATGTACCCTGAGTGTAAACCTGAGACGCATTCATTGTGAAGCGTGCAGCTAGCGATTTGCAAAGATTAATATAAATATTAAAGGTTAATAAAACGTTACACTCACTTCAGTTGTTTTGGAGGTTCAGCAGGAACACGAATAGTTGGTACCGGTCCAGGAGCAGCTTCTTAGCAAAACCAGCTTTATACTGATCCTCCTCGTTTATAAGCAGTCTGGTGAGAAATGATTCGCGCAAATATGAAAGCATTGACGTTGCTCGTGGGGAATATTCCCTTCGAAAACAAACTCAGCCACTGCGTCTTCAGCGGTTCGGATTTAGGAACATTAAAATGACTGCTGGGTTCCTTATTACACCCAAGAACAGAACACCACAATCGCTTAGACGCCATTCTGCTCATAGACAGAGCTCCAGCATATCAACAATGACCGCGCCGGTCCGCGCGGACTATGATTGACAGCTGGCTCACGAGCGAGGGCGGGTCTGTGTTGAAACCCGGCTGTCAATCAACAATCGTGGGAGGGGCGTGCGAGCTTGTGACGTCACAGGCTCGAACGGCTTGATTTGAGGCAGGGGAAAACGTATAAGGAGATTAAAACAAAACCACTGGATGGATTTTTATCATTATATGATGTTTGTGTACAGGCACTGCCAACACACATTTCAGTACAATCAACTTGTAAAAGTGCATGTGCCATTATATGACCCCTTTAAAAACGCCTCGGGTTCGTTTTTTTAGTTTGACGCGCCACGTCAAAAACTATCCGACCAATGAGATTGGCGCTTTTGCTCACGTGTCTGGAGCTTCTGAAGTTACAGTGAAACACAACTTGGGGGCGCTCAAACACAAAACGGTCTTGCCGAGCACACATACGCAACGGCGAAGAAGATATACGCCAAGTAGCGTCTACACTGCCGGGAAGAAATAAGACGAGGAAGATGCAAGGCAAGATGAATGTAGAGCTGCTGGTCTCGTTGCTGTCGGAACATAAAGAACTATATGACAAACGCGACAGCGACTACAAAAATCTTGATAAAAGAGAACTGTTATGGAGTGGAATTGCAGAGCAAATGGACGCCATCTAATGTCAGGGAATGAATTTGCATGTTCACTCGGCTCATCGTCAGCGAAGATCTCTTGGGTGTGAACACAAAAAACGCGTTGAAAAACGCTGGCGAAAAACACGCGCCGATATTCGTCCCGGTGTGTACGAGCCTTAAGACGACGGATTTTTGAGGTCGTCTTCGACTTGCTTCCCCAGGTCTTCCACGTTGGTGGTCATCGGCACCAGAGTAGTTTGAATGGCAGTCTGGCTCATCCATTTGGCACACGTGCCCGAACCACCGCAGGCGTGCGTCTCTTCTGTATCGCATCTTCGATCGTTAAAGCCGATAACCGATATATTGGCTGATTAATCTAAATCCAAATTTTTATATAATTTTGAGAGCCTGATTACAAAAACAAAAATCTCACCATTAATAGCCATGTCCCAAACACACAATTATAATGATGTTCCCATTATAATTTTATGTAGCCTATATGACAGACTATATTATACACTTAACTGTAATTTTCTTTTTAAAATGTATTCAAGCAATTCAAAACCATCATGTCGAACGGTTGAGCATCTGAAGTGAAGGAAATTTATTATATATCGGCCAAATTTTCTTATCTGGCCGATAACGATTACTTTAAAAATGAACATATTTTGATCTTGCATACGTCCTAATCTTATAAACTCACAGGTTGTGAAAGAGCAAGAAACTAGTCTAATGACAGAGTTAGTCTTAGGAAACTTTGGAAAGTTTAATAGCAACGTAAAAGCACATTACATTAATTGCAATATGCAAACTATTGCGCTCTTATACTTAAATATAATGGCACTGTATGTTACATGCAGCTGCTTTTATGAATTTTACCTAACTTTGAAGGTCAAGTTTCTTTGATCGCAAACCAGATTATATGTTCTCTCTTTTCAATGGTAAACACAAAACCAATCCAGACCAGGGGGCTGTTCCATAAATGAAGCTTAGAAAAGCGGGGATTAAACTCCAAAACCTGACTTGAATGAGCCTAACAAATAAGTTGGGGCTAAAGTGGTTCCATAAAAGGTAATTGAAGTTCACTCAATCTCACTAATTTGATCCAGGTTTATCTAGTCTAGATAATTGCGTGTGCACGCGTTTCTGAAGCAGCCCTAGAGGTCGATCGTGGATCAAATCGATCCACCATCAAACAGCGTATATTTTGTGCTGTTTTATGCGTTTGTGACATGTTTTTTTTTTCCCCTCAGTGCACAAATTACATTTTACAGTTATATTTTCCATCTGTAAATGTTAGAAAGTCGTGCAAATGTATCCATTTTGCTGCTAATCTTCATATTGAACGAGCGCTGCTGCGCGCATGCGCGCCAAATAGGAGCGCAATAATTCTGACTAAAATATACATTTTGCTTGGAAAATTAATATGCGATCTTTTATAACACTAGAAATATCTTCTAATTATAATAATTTCTCTTTAGGATGTTGGATAAGTTGCAGTGAACTTCTAGCTCATTACACTCATATATTTTATACTTCTAATAAAAAAAAAAGAAATTGAACAGAAGTAGCCTAATTCAGGGAAGATTTTTTTTAAAGAAACTAAATAAATAAAGATAAAAAATATAGTTTTGGGTATAGGACCTATGCTACTTTATAAAGATGATATATACTTATTTAGAATGCTGAGAATTACAGCTTTTAATGCAATCATTTTTTTTTTGAGAAAGCAAGAATCCCCAGTTTTAAATGAGTGGTTAGATTTAGTTTCTAAAGTACATTATGGAGAGGATAACATTAAATTAAGAACAAATGTATACATTTTGAAAAGATATGTGCAACTCTAAAATCAAAGAATATTCCATAAAATAAAGGAATATATATTGGCCTACATTAACTACATTTTTATGTAACCTTCCCTTTTATTTCTAGTTATTTGTTATTTTATTTATTTACTTATTTAATATTGAATATTTGATATTTAAATAATATTACTTGAATAACTTTTAGGAATTATGTGTCATTCATTATAAGAGTTTGATATATGTGAATGTTATATTTTTATTAATATTTATTTATTGTTTTATTTATATGTATGTGTTGGTATTATCACAAAAGAAAAAAAAGTAGAAGGAAAAATAAGGAATATTTATTGGGGGAAAATATGATGTCTTTAAAGGAACTGTCCATTTGTATAATTGTGTTAAATGTGTTTGAATTGAAAGACATAATAAAGTACTTAAAAAAAAAAAAAATATATATATATATATATATATATATATATATATATATATATATATATAAGAGACAGTGTAGAGAAAGAATTCTCTGATAACCGAGGCATTCCTTAATTAAAATGTCTTTATTACAAAAATGACATGTCCTAAACGGAAAACTTTAAAATGCCTTATATATGTGTCTATATTGTAGCCTTATTTAAGTTGATTTTCTGTATACTGTGTATTTATAAAGTCCAATAATGGTATTAGAGACTGTCAGTGGTAATATCATTGTGTTCTTGTCGGTCAGTGTTGAGGATCTGTGTAACAACTGAGGCTTAGCCTGACAGTTAGCCTGCCCTGGACCAGGCTAGTTTCCCAGCATAAGTTGCCAGGGTAACTGAGTTTGAACTTTTTTAAGTTTGATTTATGAAACCGAATCTACCAAAAATAAGCTTGACTAACCGAAATAAGCCTGGCTTATACTCTAATCTTGGTTTATGGAACAGCCCCCAGGACCAGATGAAAGTGTTCCACTCACTCACTCATTTCTTTTTGTCTTTACAGATTTTGAAGGTGAAGTTTTTCGTGAATGCCCAAGAAACAGTCAGTACGGTTTTCAACATGAACAGGAATAAGCGTGAGAAAGAGTATTACAGCATAGATGTAGGAGATTCAACATTTACCGTTTTGAAGCGCTATCAGAATCTGAGACCAATCGGGTCTGGAGCTCAAGGCATCGTCTGGTAAGTTTAATGAATTTAATTAGCCTGTAAAATATGAAAGAAGCAGATTATCATAAAGATGGCTCATAAAAGAAAGTGTGTTAAATTAAAAACTCGTTTTTTTTTTTAGCTCTGCATATGACCACGTCCTTGAACGAAATGTTGCAATTAAGAAACTTAGCCGACCCTTTCAGAACCAAACTCATGCCAAACGGGCCTACAGAGAACTGGTCCTGATGAAATGTGTCAACCACAAAAACGTAAGACATGTTCCGTTTCAATTTAATTATAATTTTATTAATGTAAATGTAATTTATTCCTGTGATCAAAGCTGAATTTTCAGCATGATTACTCCAGTCTTCAGAGTCACATGATCCTTCAGAAATCATTCTAATATGCTGATTTGCTGCTCATTAAACACATTATTATTATTTATTATCGTGTTGTGTGGCTTCATATTTTCATAATACTTCAGGATTCTTAAAAGAAAGAGCAGAAAAGAAGGAAAAACATTGATTACATAGAACTTTTTGTAACATTTATAAATTTGTTTGCAGTCACTTTAGATCAATTTAATGCATCCTTGCTGAATAAAAGTATTAATTTATTTAAGAAAATAAATCCCCAAAGTTTTGAGTATTAGTGTATATTGAAGTTAATTTTTTAATTATATATTTTGGATAGTAAGAAGAACTTGATATCCTCATAGATGGGACAAATTAAACCACAGCACATGCACATCTTTCATGCAGTGTGCTTTCATTTCACAGATAATTGGCTTGTTAAATGTGTTCACACCACAGAAGACACTTGAAGAATTCCAGGATGTGTAAGTTTTATTTTCTGTAGTGAATTAGAATGGAATTGAAATGCCTTTTGACTCGTAACATGTATAACACAATATAAGTTTGGCCTTGGATTAATTCAAATTCACTGTGTAACATGATGAGGGCTGTACAGTGCACTGCACGTACTACAAAAAATCTGTGTATATGTGCAGGTATGCTTGTTTATTTGTGTGTTCCTCACTCCTTTACCTTCATCTCCTGTCCGCAGTTATCTGGTGATGGAGCTGATGGATGCAAACCTGTGCCAGGTCATTCAGATGGAGCTGGACCACGAGAGACTCTCCTACCTGCTTTATCAGATGCTCTGCGGCATCAAACACCTACATGCTGCCGGCATCATACACAGGGTACACACACACACACACACACACACACACACACACACACACACACACACACACACACACACACACACACACACACACACACACACACACACACACACACACACACACACACTTCAAAGCCTAGTGAACTGTCTTCTTTCTACATAGGCAGCATCTCCATAGGTTACTGGCTTTGAAATGCTTCAGTAACGGTCACATATGTGTGTCACAGGAAAAGCTCTTCATGCGTAAATACTCGGTTGTTGTTGACAATAGAGTTTTATTTTATGATGTTGCTAAACTAATGAATTGATACTCTAATACAGGAGTTTTCACACATTTTAACGCCAGCAGTATAATAATGCTGTGCAGTTGTGTTGTCTGTCGCTTTAAATGCTCAAGCTCTATAAAGAAGGGTGGATTCTGATTGGCTGGAAAAAATATGTTCTGTAAGCAATTTGGTCAATTGTGGTGTGGACTCTATTCTTTTATATTTAGAACGGTTTTTTAAACTATATCTTTATCGTTAAAGCTCTCGTCCGTGGTGGGAATTGGCCTTAAGCCTTGGCTTAATAAACACAAATTACCTAGAAAATCAACATTTTCCGATGCATTTGCTTTATTCAAGAAATATTTATGTAATGCTGCCTTGAATTTTGGCCAAAATAAGATATTTTATTAAGATAGCATAATTTAGCTGCCAATTATATGTAGCAAACTTGATGTAGGGAGTGATGCTTTTAGGACCCCCTTATGTTTCTTAGGGCATTATGATATTTTAAGGAATATCACACAATTGTTCTTTCATGTTTAAATTCGAACTGTAATCAAAAATATAAAATCTGATTTTAACTTGATTACATTTGAAAAGATTACATTTTTAATGTTTAATGCTTTTATTTGATTACCAATGTTTTTCTAAACAATGATAAATGTGTATCAAATCATAAATCTAGAAAAAATACAGAATCTCAGAAAAAAAATCAATTGATTACACATCCTTTTTGATGATTAAAATGTAAATCAACTTTAATAAAAAAATTTAATTAAAATGGGGAAACACTGAATTTGGAAAAATAAAAGAATTTGGGAAAAAATAAAAAAGTAAATAGCGTTTTTCAAGCTTTTAATAAATTGTTAAAGTCCATACCTTTCATCCTTTCAATTAAACAGATGTGAAATTTGATTACTAAAATTTGATGTAATCATTTCATATTAAAAACTAACGTGGAAAAAATGGGCCATAGTTTCTGAACTGTGCAGTTCTCATTCCTACCAGTGAGAATGTGACCACTCTGCTGACCCTTAACCTCTTCTCTTTCCAGGATCTGAAACCTAGTAACATAGTAGTGAAATCCGACTGTACGCTGAAGATCCTCGACTTCGGCCTGGCCCGGACGGCCGCCACCGGCCTCCTCATGACCCCTTATGTGGTGACGCGCTACTATCGTGCCCCCGAGGTCATCCTGGGCATGGGTTACCAAGCCAATGGTGAGTGCTAACCTGATGTCACTGCTTTGCAGCATGCCCACATAAAGGGTCCCAAACGACCCCAGAGCACCCTTCACATCATTCTGCTGAAAACAACCTTGATCTCACCAAATGGCTGTGGTGATTTAACATTAAAGGCCCTTGAGGGATTCTTTTGTCCAGCTGAACTAGTTTCTGCATGCCCAAGCACACTGGATGGGTTTGCCTGTAGCACTGAGCATTAGTCACTGAGCACCAGTCTTACTTGGGAAGTGAAAGTGGTTCACTGCAGTGCGAAAATAACAGATCAATTTGAAGGCCGAAAATGCTGACGTTTAGTCCTAGTCGGTAGCGGTGAGGAAAAATCTCAACCAGTCGCGCTGCCCTTTTTGCTTTGCTTATGTCTTCTCTCTTTCCTCTATGCTACACTCGTGTAGTGGATATTTGGGCTGTTGGCTGCATTATGGCAGAGATGGTGCGGCACAAAATCCTTTTTCCAGGGAGGGACTGTATCCTTGTTCAGCCTCTAGTTGTTTTGTTTTATGAAGAGTAGGCCCAGTTGGATGTCTTGATCTGTTTCGGATGATTGGCCCGTGATCCTGCCTGATGTACACTGAGATGTTTGCATGCACCGTCCCGTCACGTCTGTTGCATCCACATCAGTGCACCCTGTTCTTTGTTTGATATGTGTGTGTTTGTGCATTTCTTTCCCCATTTTTATCGGCATTGATCATGCCATTTCATTTGTAAGATTTTTGGCAGTTTAATTTGGTTGTCATTTCATTTTTCAGTTGATGTCTGGTCTGTTGGATGCATCATGGCTGAAATGGTCAGAGGTAGTGTGTTGTTTCCTGGCACAGACCGTATCCTTACCTGGTCGTCTTTACTGTCCCATTGTGAGTGTTTGTTTTGTTATTTTACCCGTGATATGTGTTTTTTCATTGATGTGCAAAAAGGATTGAAATGAAGATCAAGATTAAATGTCTCATTCAAATATATATGTATATACACTCACCTAAAGGATTATTAGGAACACCTGTTCAATTTCTCATTAATGCAATTATCTAATCAACCAATCACATGGCAGTTGCTTCAATGCATTTAGGGGTGTGGTCCTGGTCAAGACAATCTCCTGAACTCCAAACTGAATGTCAGAATGGGAAAGAAAGGTAATTTAAGCAATTTTGAGCGAGAAATGCCTTGTTGATGCTAGAGGTCAGAGGAGAATGGGCCGACTGATTCAAGCTGATATAAGAGCAACTTTGACTGAAATAACAACTCGTTACAACCGAGGTATGCAGCAAAGCATTTGTGAAGCCACAACACGCACAACCTTGAGGCGGATGGGCTACAACAGCAGAAGACCCCACCGGGTACCACTCATCTCCACTACAAATAGGAAAAAGAGGCTACAATTTGCAAGAGCTCACCAAAATTGGACAGTTGAAGACTGGAAAAATGTTGCCTGATCTGACGAGTCTCGATTTCTTTTGAAACATTCAGATGGTAGAGTCAGAATTTGGCGTAAACAGAATGAGAACATGGATCCATCATGCCTTGTTACCACTGTGCAGGCTGGTGGTGGTGGTGTATTGGTGTGGGGGATGTTTTCTTGGCACACTTTAGGCCCCTTAGTGCCAATTGGGCATCGTTTAAATGCCACGGCCTACCTGAGCATTGTTTCTGACCATGTCCATCCCTTTATGGCCACCATGTCCCCATCCTCTGATGGCTACTTCCAGCAGGATAATGCACCATGTCACAAAGCTTGAATCATTTCAAATTGGTTTCTTGAACATGACAATGAGTTCACTGTACTAAAATGGCCCCCACAGTCACCAGATCTCAACCCAATAGAGCATCTCCATCACAAATCTCCATCAACTGCAAGATGCTATCCTATCAATATGGGCCAACATTTCTAAAGAAGGCTTTCAGCACCTTGTTGAATCAATGCCACGTAGAATTAAGGCAGTTCTGAAGGCGAAAGGGGGTCAAACACAGTATTAGCATGGTGTTCCCAATAATCCTTTAGGTGAGTGTATATACAATATATATTATGTTAATGTAACATTATGACTTTCAGTGGAGACTTGTCACATCACGCTGGATTAGGAAATGTGCTAGAGTCATTCTTAAATAATAAAGAGGTTAACTGCTTATAATTTGGGTAATTATGTTTATGTATGTGACTTGGAAGTCACCCAAATATATTAGTCAGGTAAGAGAGCCATGATGATGTGCTTCCAGTCAGTAGTTTTCCTTAGCATGTAATCTGAAGATATTGACCAGTGGAACAAGGTGATCGAGCAGCTGGGCACACCAGCACAGGAGTTCATGTTGAAGCTGAACCAGTCTGTGAGGACTTACGTGGAGAACAGACCTCGCTATGCTGGATACAGCTTTGAGAAGCTCTTCCCTGACGTGCTCTTCCCTGCAGACTCTGACCACAACAAACTCAAAGGTGAGGGATACGTCGTCAATATTTCGGCCTTTTATTGTTTTATAGTGCTGTTACACTGTAAATGTTGCTTTTAGAAATATATTGTTGGATGTTTAAAGATGCAAATAGTAGATAAATGCAAACTTCTGACTGAATGTGCAACCGATCATAGACTACCAAGAGTTAGGCGAATGATGCTAGACTATTGTTATATTTGTTGCAAATATTGTTTTAATTTATACTTGTAATTATTTAAGGATAATGGTATATTTTAATATATTAATTTGTTGTTTTATAGAAGTAAACTAATACTACCTGCCACTGACTAGCAATAGCGAGTAGCAAAGTCAAATCTACTGGGTTCTTAAGTGGCAGGTGTATATATATATATATATTCTTTTTTAAATTATGAATTATAATAACTTTATTTTGTATAGCGACTTTAAAAGTTGCTTTTTTCACAGCACTTTACAAGAAAGACCAACAGAATAAAATGAAACAACATTAAAACAAATGCAATAAAGAATAAGTCATACGTTTAAAAACGACAGTAACAATACAACAAATACAAATAATTATACATGAAAATGCATATTAAACCAGTAGACCAATAGTCAAGTATAAGCCATCCAAGAAAAGAAAACGTTTAAGATAAGATATAAAAGTGCTTCAGATTTCTTGCACCATTTGATGCCATTTCTAGATAAGAAAAGTGTCCACCGAAACCAATTACAAATTAAAAAATTAGGCTTTATTTTTTAATACTTGAGTATTCTTGCTACTCCATAGTTCACAGCCATAAACTATTGGCTGTATATAAAAAGGCTTGAGCCTATTAAAATGTGCCGCACCTCCTGTTTCAAAAGGAAATATACCAAGAAAGGAAACTTATCACAAAAAATTTCATGGGGTCTTCAACCAGGTCTAAAATGACTGTAATCCATGACTCCCACTAGCTTATTGCTTTAATTAAAGGTGCATTTAATTCACAATTATGCTTTGCTGTTTCAACTTGGCTTCTAAAGACACTGAATTGTGTTTGTTTCCCTTCATTAAAGGTGCAAAACGCAAGTCTCTGAGTTTTTGCAGAACTACGCCCCCTCTGGCGGCAAGCGAAATTGCAACCAATTCTGATTGTACATGTATCTAGCTTATGCTAAAGCATTACACATTTTACGCATCGTCATTTGTTGTCATACATAGATTGGCCGTATCAAATATTAGAGACTGGGCTATATATCTTACCGTTTTATAAAAAAAAAAGCCAACTGAGGATCCCGTTTGAGACCAAGAGCAGACCGGAGATCTCTCCATTTGTTGAATGCCTTCCCGAGGTTGACTCGCGTCTCACTCCGACGCCTGTCTGACTCCAATTTGGACCTTTTGGTGGCACTAGGTAACATTTTTCTTTTCTTTACTTTACGTGGAGTTTGCGTTGGGGTTTAGAATGGACTACAAGTCGGTCTCTTTGAATCCATCTTCTACCTTTGACGCACGAGTTGTCTTCGCTGATGCGGAGAATGGCGGCGCCGGCGAATACACAAACCTGCGAGACATAGCCTGGTGAGCGTGAACGCGCATGACGTCACGCCCAGTCTCAAATTCGAGCCCGAATCCCTCTTATATATTTTACTGTACAGGATTATAGAGGCAATCTCAGTGCGCAGAGAAGGGCTCATTCAGCCCATCAGGCAGTTCTTTAACGATGTATAGGATAGAAAAACAGGTATTTTTAACATGAAAAGTTGCGCAATGCACCTTTAAACCCCCGTCAAATTGCAGTAATCCTAGATCAGCGTGACTGTCCATGGCGAATTCCCTCTCAATTCAGTTTCTGATTTAAACGCAATTATTTTTCAGCGAGCCAGGCCCGAGACTTGTTATCCAAAATGCTGGTAATAGATGCGTCGAAGCGAATCTCAGTGGACGAGGCCCTCCAGCACCCCTACATCAACGTGTGGTACGATCCGTCAGAGGTGGAAGCGGTAAGTGCTTCAGTGTTCATTATTCCGGGGTGCTCGTTGACTCTCCCGAGCGCATGACGTATTATTTTCTTTCCTTTGTGATGTATCTAATTGACATTTATCTGCTTGGTTTCAGCCGCCACCGGCGATCACGGATAAACAACTAGATGAGAGAGAACACACAGTAGAAGAGTGGAAAGGTGCTCGTTTTTTAAAGTTTTGACTGTTTTTATATGTTGTCATTCATAATTTTTAGTGTCTGGTGATTTAGTGACGCATGATTATTTTGCCTTTTTATTTAGATCTTGATGGACGCATGAAATATAAGATTTGTGATAATTTGTGTAACACCTACGACTCATGTTTCCTGACGCAATCTTGTGCTCCTCTGTATCTGTTCCCTGATCAGAGCTGATATATAAGGAAGTGCTGGACTTGGAGGAGCGAACGAAAAACGGGGTGATCCGAGGACAGCCGGCCTCACTAGGTTAGTTTCCTCCTTGATTTATGAAATTAACTCTGTGGGCTTTTCACACTGTGGTTAACCTTGGGTTAATTGTTTTTAACCCCAGGTTAAGGTACGTTTTAACCCTGGATTATGAAGCTTTCCTCTGAAGCAGGTTTAGAATTAGAAGAACTTACTAATGCGTTAACTGAAATCTTGATAAAGTGTTATGTTTACAATTATTTTCCACAGTAGTTATTTGGGCTCTACTAGAATAGCTCAATAGATCATGCTTGAATGTTCAAAAACACCTTATTTTTCACAGATTCTCCATTGTTGCAGCTCCTCTCTTCCCAATCTGTCAGTAACGCTCTGTTAAAGCAGGGATACTTCAGGATTTAGCATTAAGCTTTGTATTAGTAGAAAACCTGTAGTATTTTCGAATTACTGTGCTTTCCACCCTCATATCCCCCTGAGACGAGAGATTTATGTATTTTTTGTCTGGAAAAAATCCTCCGTTTATGCAAAAAACGTCATTTTGCGTCATCGGAGGATTTTTTGGCCAGAGGCTAAAGACTACAGTCAGTAGTAGGGGCTGTCCCGCATGTTCTCAACCCGCCCATAGAGGGTGGATCTCACTCACAGAATGTACACATAGTGTCAGCCATCTTTTTTTGGAAGCTAAGCTAAGCTAGCAGGCTCTTGTTCTGTGGAGAAAGCTGAGTAGTAAGGGTTACCATCCTCTTTTTCCCGGACATGTCCGGCCGTCGATGTCCGGGATTCTGCAGTCGCCATTCATTGTTTACATGTACAGGTTTTGTTTCAATCTAACTGAATTCATTCCGATTGGTGAATCTGAATGTAGTGTTTACATGAACGCTAAACAAGTGATCGGTTGATGTGCGTTATAACATTGCTAAGAAAATCCCCGCTCCTCCGTGAGAGATACGAGAGCGGTGCGTCTCACAGGTGTCGCTCATCGGTAATCACGCCACCGGCCTCGCGCCGTTCTCCCGCGGCCCTCGCCTCGTCCTGCTCGCCACAGTAAACATGACTCGTGTCGTTCTCCCGCGGCCCTCACTCGTCCTGCTCGCCACAGTAAACATGACTCGTGTCGTTCTCCCGCGGCCCTCACTCGTCCTGCTCGCCACAGTAAACATGACTCGCGCCGTTCTCCCGCGGCCCTCACTCGTCCTGCTCGCCACAGTAAACATGACTCGTGTCGTTCTCCCGCGGCCCTCACTCGTCCTGCTCGCCACAGTAAACATGACTCGTGTCGTTCTCCCGCGGCCCTCACTCGTCCTGCTCGCCACAGTAAACATGACTCGTGACGTTCTCCCGTGGCCCTCACTCGTCCTGCTCGCCACAGTAAACATGACTCGTGTCGTTCTCCCGCGGCCCTCACTCGTCCTGCTCGCCACAGTAAACATGACTCGTGTCGTTCTCCCGTGGCCCTCACTCGTCCTGCTCGCCACAGTAAACATGACTCGTGTCGTTCTCCCGCGGCCCTCACTCGTCCTGCTCGCCACAGTAAACATGACTCGTGACGTTCTCCCGTGGCCCTCACTCGTCCTGCTCGCCACAGTAAACATGACTCGTGTCGTTCTCCCGCGGCCCTCACTCGTCCTGCTCGCCACAGTAAACATGACTCGTGTCGTTCTCCCGCGGCCCTCACTCGTCCTGCTCGCCACAGTAAACATGACTCGCGCCGTTCTCCCGCGGCCCTCACTCGTCCTGCTCGCCACAGTAAACATGACTCGTGTCGTTCTCCCGCGGCCCTCACTCGTCCTGCTCGCCACAGTAAACATGACTCGTGACGTTCTCCCGCGGCCCTCACTCGTCCTGCTCGCCACAGTAAACATGACTCGTGTCGTTCTCCCGCGGCCCTCACTCGTCCTGCTCGCCACAGTAAACATGACTCGCGCCGTTCTCCCGTGGCCCTCACTCGTCCTGCTCGCCACAGTAAACATGACTCGTGCCGTTCTCCCGCGGCCCTCACTCGTCCTGCTCGCCACAGTAAACATGACTCGTGTCGTTCTCCCGCGGCCCTCACTCGTCCTGCTCGCCACAGTAAACATGACTCGCGCCGTTCTCCCGCGGCCCTCACTCGTCCTGCTCGCCACAGTAAACATGACTCGTGTCGTTCTCCCGCGGCCCTCACTCGTCCTGCTCGCCACAGTAAACATGACTCGTGTCGTTCTCCCGCGGCCCTCACTCGTCCTGCTCGCCACAGTAAACATGACTCGCGCCGTTCTCCCGCGGCCCTCACTCGTCCTGCTCGCCACAGTAAACATGACTCGCGCCGTTCTCCCGCGGCCCTCACTCGTCCTGCTCGCCACAGTAAACATGACTCGTGTCGTTCTCCCGCGGCCCTCACTCGTCCTGCTCGCCACAGTAAACATGACTCGCGCCGTTCTCCCGCGGCCCTCACTCGTCCTGCTCGCCACAGTAAACATGACTCGCGCCGTTCTCCCGCGGCCCTCACTCGTCCTGCTCGCCACAGTAAACATGACTCGCGCCGTTCTCGCGCGGCCCTCACTCGTCCTGCTCGCCACAGTAAACATGACTCGTGTCGTTCTCCCGCGGCCCTCACTCGTCCTGCTCGCCACAGTAAACATGACTCGTGACGTTCTCCCGCGGCCCTCACTCGTCCTGCTCGCCACAGTAAACATGACTCGTGTCGTTCTCCCGCGGCCCTCACTCGTCCTGCTCGCCACAGTAAACATGACTCGCGCCGTTCTCCCGTGGCCCTCACTCGTCCTGCTCGCCACAGTAAACATGACTCGCGCCGTTCTCGCGCGGCCCTCACTCGTCCTGCTCGCCACAGTAAACATGACTCGTGTCGTTCTCCCGCGGCCCTCACTCGTCCTGCTCGCCACAGTAAACATGACTCGTGACGTTCTCCCGCGGCCCTCACTCGTCCTGCTCGCCACAGTAAACATGACTCGTGTCGTTCTCCCGCGGCCCTCACTCGTCCTGCTCGCCACAGTAAACATGACTCGCGCCGTTCTCCCGTGGCCCTCACTCGTCCTGCTCGCCACAGTAAACATGACTCGTGTCGTTCTCCCGCGGCCCTCACTCGTCCTGCTCGCCACAGTAAACATGACTCGCGCCGTTCTCCCACGGCCCTCACTCATCCTGCTCGCCACAGTAAACATACTGAATGGCGACTGTAGAACGCAAAAGCTGAATCCCGGACATTTTGGGCGATCTCGAAACACATTTTCGGGCAGACTCATCACGGAGACTCACTAGTAGCCTAGACTTGTTGTTTAACGACTGTGCTCTGTTACCGGTAGGCGTGGCCTCCTAGGGCAACGAGTTGGGAGTTGTTGTCTTCCATCCACATCAGCCAAAAATACATTTTCTGGCTTTTCTCAGTCTAGAAAGCTCCAAATTCAAAAATAATTTCACATTTCTTCTTCATAAATGACCCATTTTAAATACACATTCATCTTTCCAGAGGTGAAGTATTCCTTCTGAAAAGCACAATGTGTTCTGATTGGTCGGCTGGATCAGTGTGTTGTGATTGGTCGAGGGCTTCGAGTGTGTTTGTAAAAATGCCCCACCCCTTATCATAACCTCCAGTTTAACACACTACTAACTAACTCAACCAGGCCCCGCCCCTTTATTCTGCGTATGAATTATTTAAATGAGGAATATTGTGACGTGTTCGTTCCAGGAAGAAACTCAAGACTACAATGGAGGCGTTTCAGAGAGTTCAGAAACACTGATATAGAGAAGAACTGTAACATTACACACTAAAGAAAGATGAACACGTAAAAAAAAAAAAAAAGCATAATAGGTCCTCTTTAATATCTTACACAATCTTACTTCTGATGTACATTGAAACATTACAAATGTTTGGCTATGTAACCTTTTATTTACAATTTATCAATCAGTTTTTTTAAATGTCTAAACCTCTTTAATACCAGATCCATTTACTTGAAAAGCAACATAATGTAATATATTAAGAATATGTATAAAGCATAAATCGAATTCTAAATCTCTTGCTTGCTTGTAAATTGATCATGCCGTAAAGATGTTTAGATATTTTTACTGGTTAAAAACCTGTGTTAAAGGCCACATGTCCACGTTCACACGGTTTCATCAGTAGTACCTGTCTGATAAAAATGTGCTGTGTTCCTCATAGCACAGGTGCAGCAGTGAGCAGTGACTCCCAGGAGCCCTCGACGACGTCCTCCTCCTCCACAAACGACGTGTCGTCCATGTCCAGCGACCCCACCGTGACCTCGGACACAGACAGCAGTCAGGAGACCACAGGACCGCTGGGCTGCTGTAGATGACCATCCTCGTTCATCCCGTTCCTGCTAACATCCCTCTTCACTGGCAAACGGACACGTGTCCTCCTTTCTTTCTCAAACTTGACAAGTTCTTTTGAATCGAAAAAGTTTAAGAATGGAGGTAAGAGTTTTTGAGGGCACCTTGAAAGCTTTTACACCAAACCAGCATTACTTTGATTGCTTTCATTTGCTGTACTTTAATTTTGCATCAGCGCTACGTCATCTTGCCGTTTGGATGTGGAATGATTTGAGTTTATTTGTAAAGATGGATGGTGAATATATTTCTGAGATGTTTTATTTTTTGAGAGTCATTTTAATCACTAATTAGTGGAGGTTCTTTAAATGGCACGTCCATTTCCTGGATAAATTAATGTTTCCACACTGTTACTACTGTTTCGGTGCTGTATGAAATGCATCTGATCGGTCTAAGATGGACCTGTGTACCTAAAACACAAGTTTAGTTGAATGTTTTATTTGGTTTGGCTTTACAGATTTTTTAATAAGTAGCTACTTAGTAGCTTTTTTAATTTCTAATTTCAGTGTACTCTGTAAAAACACATTTGAACATGGTTTTCAAATGTCACTGTACATATTTCAACTCGAAACACAGAAAACAGTAACCCACAGCTTTCTTTAAGCTTTCTTTCAGCGCTGTACAGTTCTGTAAAAGACACACAACACAGTTGTTCATGTAAAGGTCTTGTTTTAACACTTCATTATATGATATGAAACCGAAATTGGATATTTGGTCCCTGCATAAGAAACGCTTTTGATTTCTTTAGTCTTTACAATCAAACTGTGTATACCGACGTGATCTTATTCATTAGGCTATGAATATTTTTCATGAATATATTTTTTTGAATAATGTTATTTTAAATGCAGCAATCAATGCTAAATGAATGAAAACATTAGATTGAAGGTTCAAAATAGATCATAATGGAAGTACCCCTTTTTATGGACTTGGCAATCTAACGTTAAAAAAAATCCCTTTTATAAAAAAATCTTTGATTATGTAATGTTTTGGGATGTAGTTATATCTTTACAATATTAGTGTATGAAGTGTAAACTCTGCTTCTCCCACTGTAAAGAATACAACACGACCCTTATGACTACAAGCTAAATCCATCACTAAATTTGGAAATGTCATTCATCATTGGGCTTTTATTTGTTTTCAAAATGGAGAAAGTGCCTGAGTCCAGCATTCATTCCTGAATGATTAGAAAGATGAAGAAATTTGGGTGAGGTTTTTCAAAGTAATCCTGTTCATATCATGTTGGAGTGTCTATTTTTCTATTGTATTGGATGTGTGTGATGTAGATTGAAAGGTTGGGGCATGTTGAGAAAATTCAAAGGGACGTTTCCTCAAGCAAGGTCTTTCATCAAAGTGATAGCGAATTGGAACATTTTTGGTATGCATATATGGCAATTTCCCATGAGGCAATGCTATCGAATGGACATGGGTATGTTTGGTGATAGTTGAGAGGATGTAGGAACAGAAGGTTTGTGTTTGCATAATGATTGGCATATATATATAATCTTTTTTTTTTTTTTAAGTGCTCTTAATTTTTCTTCCCTGTCTTTAGGCTAATGAATTTTAACTTTAGATTTTTCATTGCATTTTCTTTTATTTCATCTCTCAAAAATGTTATAATTCAGATCAAAGTAGGCTTTGATGAACTACCTCACTCTAAATTTCTAGATTTTTTTTTTTTCGACGTAGTTGCCCGTAAAATGTTAATACAGATTTCATTATTTATTTATTTCTAAAGTGAACTATTGTCAATAGTAGGCAACGTATAGTTTTGTACATTATGTATACTTCACCTAGAAGTAAAAGAACTGAAATGTAAATTTGATCTTTTTGTTTAATTTTCTTTGTACTCATTTTTTTACAGTTGATGTGCAATACCCACTGCTGTCATGCTAGTTGTAATCGGTAGATCTAGACTTATTAGTTTTAAATATGTACCCAGAGGTAGAGATATGTTTGGTACTGTCCGATAAACACTTTTTTTTTTTTTGTCTTTTTAAATCTGGATTTTTTTTTTTTTTTTTGTGGCTTTTTTCGTCAATGTTACATAACCTGTCTTACCAAAAACTAAATTCTGTGACTGATGTTAGCAAGGTTTCATGTTTAGCCACAGGACTTTGATCAACCTGGTAAGTTCAATTAAAAAACATTTGTAAAATATCTTGAATTACCAATATGTTAAGATTTGGTGCTGGTATGTAATATTTGCTAGCAACGCCAGCCCAACAATTATTAAATGGCTAACTCTGTGTGCACTGAACAGCATACAGACAATGAGAAGTGTGCACAAAGAATGCACTGGGATCTTATGATACCAATTGTACATTTACTGCAAATAAACACCAGTTTGAATCAGAATCATTTTCCCATGTCTCATTGCAGCTCAATATACAAGAAGTTTATGTATGTTTTAGATCGAATATTGTGAGTTATTTAGTTTTTTAGCAGTGGCGTTACTGAATAAATCAGTCGAGTAAATGTTTCAACGACTCATAAAAAAACTTGAATGAGTTTGGAATAAAATACTAATTGTAAAAGGACAGTTTTTCCAATAATGATAACTGTATTGATTTCCACACTAACTTACAATAATGTTCTGTATATTATAAGCATGCACTGCTGTTATAACCCTCTGGGGTCCTTCATTTAACAGTCACACTCAGGACCTTCGGGACCAAATGGTCCGAGAGGGCGGGATTAATATATATAAAAAAAATCATTGTTTTTTTTTTTTACTTGTTTTTTTATAACATTTTTTCTTTTCTTTTTTGGTGTTTTGAGATAATTTTATGATTTATAATTAATATTTATGCAATGATTATGACCTCTTTTTTCTCCTATTGAATATAATAGATTTTCTTTTTATTAAAGCTGTATTTCATTTTAGAGTCAAGCCTAGGCCTCATGAAAGCAATTTTTGAAATGAGATGGATGCCATCTGGTGGACACACTGAGCATTTTAAAATTTCAAAACAGATATATGTAATCTGAATTTATTAGTGTGTATGTGTGTGTGTGTGGATGTGTCTGTTTTGCACTCTTGATGTTTGATAGATTCACCCCTTCACTGTTGTGTGCTTTTTTTTCTGGATCGTGGCTGATTTGTAGATTGTACGCCCAAAAAAACTCTGTATTTTCACATTTTTGCCAATTTCCCATTCATTTCCTATGGGGGTCCATTTGGACCCGAAGGTCCTGAGTGTTACTATTTTTTTTTTTACAACCACTTAGACTATTCAAATCCTTTCCCCAATTTTTTTGGGTGTTCATATACCAAGTACCAACAAAGTCACCAAATTTCAGACCATTCCGATGAAGCTATGATTTTTAATATTTTTTTATTTAAATGCTTCGGGTCCATTTGATCCGAAGGACCCCAGAAGCTCTTTAAAGTCGAGTGGATTCTGATTGGCTGAAAATGTTTTAATCATCTGAAAAAATCTCCCTGAAAGCATTTTCTGTTTGGTTATCGCTATAGCGTATTCAAACCTACTTTTCTAGCAAATGAACCATAAAAAACATTGACAAGCAACCAATGGTGCTTTTAAGAAATGCTGCCCATAACCAATTTGAAAGTTGCACGGCAATCGTATGTGGATGTTGGAGATGGTGCAAAAGTAGCTCTACTGGGGCCATTTTTAGCACTACCCATACACTGTAAAAAAAAACAAAAAAAAACTTCCACTGTAGAGATTTTTTGCCAAAGTGTCCCAGATTGCCAATTACGTCATTTGGAGCTCGGGTCTTAAACACTGTATAAGCCGTGCTGGATGACAAACCAGCCACATAAAGTAGATGATCAGATCGCTTTTACAAGATGTACGCTCTTTTTTTTTTTTTCAGTTTACAATTTAATTTAGGTCTTTGTGAATAATTACATACCACCACAGTGACACATGGTAACATTTCAGCACAGCACAGAAGACTAATCGTCATGTATGACCGCAGTATAATAGTCTAATCATAATGATGTATAACATCTTCACATACTCTAAATATGCATTAAAGACTTTTGTAAAAGCTGTCGTTCTAGTAATATCCGAAACATGTTGAGCAGCAAAAAGCACTTTGCTTGAGGGCACAGTGGTGATGTCCAGTTTCTGGGTCTCTTCATCTTGAACCTGAAACATTCATATTAGCAGCCTGGAAAGTTGACCATTAGGCTACGGCCATCATGCTAATATATAATATGACCTACTATGCAATAGTTCAGAGAATGAGCTGAGTCTACATAATCTATGACACAGTATTTGACCACTCGTTTTAAGAAACATCCACAGAGCATTTCTAGACTTTCTAAGCACCTAAACAGTGTCAAATAAATAAAAAATGAGCTCAATTGACAAAAAGTCACATTTCTAGCTTCTTTTAAATCAAAGTGGCACTTTGACGTCTCAAAATACCACCTATTCAATGCTATTTTAGTCAAGTATGCTTGCGTTACATTAAGACCTTGACAAAGTCACTGTCCCAATGTCATTATAAGTGACGTTTCTGCGCCAGTGGTCCACCAGATCTGCTCATCGTCCTTATTAGCATTCAGACTGGGAACCTCGAACATGCAAACGATTCAGATGTTCCCCTCCTTCCTTTGTCAGCTGAAACCTCCAAAAAAGAAGTCGCTTTAAAACGACAGGTGTAAAATGGTTTAAAGGAACACTCCGACTTTTTGAAACTTTAGCCTATTCACCTTATCCCCCAGAGTTAGATAAGTCCATACATACCTTTTTCATCTCCGTGCGGGCTGTAACTCTATCTGACGCACCCACCGCTAGCCTAGCTTAGCACAAAGACTGGATGTAAATGGTTGCAGCTAGCATACTAATCCAAATAAGTGACAAAATAGCGCAAACATTTTCCTATTTACATATTGTGATTTGTATAGTCACAGAGTGTACAGTGAACAACTATATTCTCTGAAGGCGAAGCACTGCTACTTGGGCGGAGTGATAACCGCAGCACCTGAGACGCGCCGTGGTGAGGAGCAGAGAGCGCGTCTCAGGTGCTGCGGCTATCACTCCGCCCAAGTAGCAGTGCTTCGCCTTCAGAGAATATAGTCGCCTTCAGAGAATATAGTTCCCAGTATTTATACGGTTAAAATATGTCTGTGTCTCATGTGACTTTGTTTTTTTGTACACTCTGTGACTATACAAATCACAACATGTAAATAGAAACATGTTTGCGTTATTTTGTCACTTATTTGGATTAGTATGCTAGCTGCAACCATTTACATCCAGTCTTTGTGCTAAGCTAGGCTAGCGGTGGGTGCGTCAAACAGCCTTATAGCACGCACGGAGATGAAAAAGGTATGTATGGACTTATCTAACTCTGGGGGATAAGGTGAATAGGCTAAAGTCCCAAAAAGTCGGAGTGTTCCTTTAATAAATGTAACACTGCTGGAATGGTGGGAGCCTCCTTGAAAAAGTGACTGGTGGAATTTTGCAGACCATATAATTTATGGAGATGCCTGAGACAACATCATCTTGCGTGGTCCTTGTGTTTATTTTTTGCATTAAATGTCACTGGTGCGGCTTCCAAGAGCCAGATCCCCCAGCGTGGAGAAGAAGTCTTCCATCTCTTTCTCGAGGAGGCGATTGCGGTTTTCCGCGTCCTCACGGGCTCGTTCAGAGTTTCTCAGTTTGATCTCAAGCATTCGTTTTCTTTTTCTCTCCTGCTCCATCTCTTGCTCAAGTCTCTCCATCTGCGCACACAGGGCTGCACTTGAGTCTTCCAGCCTGTAGAGGGCAGAACACAGGCGTGAGTCAATACAAATATCTCCAACAACAGTAACAGTTGGGGTCAGGGGAATCTCAAGGGCTGCAATTTGAGGAAAAAAATGACTTTAAAAAGTGTATTTTTTCATAGATCGTAGACTTTTTTTTTTTTTTTTATCCTACTGACAGACAAATAACAACACAATTGTATTTTCAAGGTTCGTACATCGAACACCAATAGTCCTTTAGTCAGATATATGACTATACATACATTATATAAATATATATACACACACACACATTTGAAAACCTCTGACTGATGCTCAGGATAAGTTTTTTTTGTAATAATTATGATAAAAATCGATTTCATTTTCATTAATTAATTCAAATTGAATTTATCGAGTTAGAAAAGTATACAAAGGCAAATTACATTTTTTATATATATATTATTTTATAAAGTTTGGGGGACACAAATATTATCCCTTGGACCCTTGCAAAAGAGTCATATTATTTTGCGGTGCTTGACTTTTTTTGTTAATAATTATGCCAAAGACAAGATATTTTCATTTGCTTTCCATATCCCTTATGAAAATTAACCATGGTTTTATTATAGTGAAAGTGTAACCATGGTTTTTGGTGGATTGATTACCATTTGATTAACCACAGTTTTACCACTTTACATTAAATCATTTAGCAAATGAGGAGAGCAATAGCAGCAATTAAACTAACAGTAGGACAACAATATGCAAGTGCTGTGACCCTCAGGGCTTAAAGTGAGCAGGTGTTCTGACGATTCATGCTACCCATCGAGATGTGCTACTTACTGGTTATGCGCATGTGCAGACTCAGTTTTTTTTTTTACAAAAGGTAAATTTCCATGTGTTATAAAGTAATTTCACTTTTTAAAAAAAAAAATGCTAACTACCATATGAATATTTGTACGGTCAGTCAGCTGAACAAGAATAACTGAAAGTTTCAGTTACTAAGGAAAGGTGTGCTTTGACAAGTCAAAGATGAATATTTGATGATCATTTTTACTTCACACCGTTTTAAAAATAAAAACAGTATCTTCGGCGTGCGGCCGTGAGGATAAAAAATGATTATTTTCGCATGAGATTCATTTTTGTCCAGCTTTAACGTGTTAAAATATTTAACGAGAACGCGCTGTCAGTGAACGTCCTCCTGGCACACGCGCGCGCGCACACACACACACACACACACGACGCACAGAAAGACGCGCGCCAGTATCGAGTTCTCTTTCGCGCTTGAACGAACAATAACCACAATGCCAAAATGTCAGTTTTGTCGAGCATCCTCGCAAGAACAGTCTTAAATGAGTTAAATACAATCTTAAATGGAAGTAAATAGTAGTGAGAGAATGAGATGCTGAGATCCTGTCAGCAGCGACAGATCTTAAAGTGACAGGAGCCATTAATTCTCTCTGTCAGTAAAGTTAACCTAAAGAACAAAGGGAACAGAGAAAATTACTAACTGCCCTCCACTAAAGATCGCTTGTAGCTTTGATAAGGATGAATCTATATTTAATTTATAATTTATGCAGTGCGGACTGTTTTATAACCTTATTCAATTTCTGCATGGTACAGTTAAATTACATTTATTATGGGTTTAAGTGAGGATTGTTTTAAGTTCACTTAAATGAAAGTTTTTTTAATATTTTTTGAAGCCTAATGTTTAAAATTTGGGGGAAAATCATTTTCATCGAGACATCAGTAGCTATAATATTAGTGATACTGGCTTTCATTCATAAAAAGATGGCATTAAGATACAGCTTTAATTTTTTTCACTTTAACCCCTGGACCCTACCCAGTTTAGTCTAACGCAGTATATGTAATTGTTAAATTTTTTTTAAATAGATATAGAGTAGAAGAGAAAAGAAAGTGTTAGTATTAATGGATCAAGTGTTGCCGAAAAAGATGCGTCTTCAGCCGTTTCTTGAAAATACCATTTCTTGAAAATACTAATACCATGGTTAAACTGGTTAGTGTAGCAAAACCATGGTTAATTTGTTGTTATTGCTAACTACAATAACCATGTTATTTTGTTTTGTATTCTTTGTAGTAAAAACACGGTTCATTTCCGTAAGGGATGTTTGAGAAACACAAATCTGACCTTCTCTTTTCCCTAATCTAGTCCCATCCCAACAGGGTGTGTATTTTTAAACAATTCGAACCATCCTCATGGCATTTAAGAAACAGCAGCCTTACTTTTTAATTCTAGATTCGTAAGTCTGTTTCTGCTTCCTCAGCTCTTCTTTCAGCTCTGCCACGACGCTGACCAGAGATGAGGGGGTTTCTTCTGCATCTTCATCCACAACTCGAATGAGCGGTGCCACGTTCCCACTATCGCTCGCGCAGTTCTCCTCAGTGCCGCCGATGTCCTCGTGTTCGTTGGGCTTCTCTTCCTCCTCGGCTCGTTCCTCCTGAGCGCTCGGCCCGTCTTCGGCCCCTAACGGCTCGCCTCCGGAGTCCGGGACCGAGATCTCACATGATGAGGTGGACCAAGGCGTGCTGTCCATACTCAACACGCTGCCCAGACTTGAAGAAGACGTGACGTTATCATAGGTAGACAGTCTCTGAGAGGAGCCTGAATCTCGGGAGCGTTCTCCGGATCGTTCTCCGGATGAGGTGCGTCGGTGTCCCCGGAGCGAGGAAAGCCCGTTCATGAGCCAGTTCCCGCTGGAGCCCGTGGTCACGTCCACCGCGGAGACTTTGGCGGACTGTGGCCGGGGAGAGGAGCCTTTAAAGGTGTACTTCCACCCTGGAAGAGTCTTAACCTGTTTACTGGGGCTGACGGCCGTCTCTCCCTTTCCCTGAGGCACAGACTTCGAGGTGCAAACGGCATCCACAGGTGAGGCACTGCTACTGGTCGGGTCATTCTTGGCTGTGGGTGGGCAGGTTTGGAGATCCTCCTCAGAGATCCAGTCAACCAGGGTGGACTGCTGATGTGGCTGGCTTTGGTCCTTTACCTCCATCTGGTTCTGTATTGTTTCAGAGTCTTTTTCAGTATACAGGCGATCATGCTTGCTAATCAGTAACGTCATGAGATGCTGAACAAGGGAGGTTCCTGTAAAACACACATGCAAAGGTAATGCTGCATCCATCAGCCTCATTTAAGTCATATACCCTGATGTACTTCCTACATTTACAGAATTAAAGTCCCCCTGTGGTGAAAATCAAGCTTTTAATGTTGTTTATATGTTTGTGTGGTGTTTTTAATATGCTTTAAGACAAACCATGTGTAAATTCATAAGTCGAGTATTTTCTCCTTAAAACTGCAGTGATCCAAAGACGGTCTCAAAAACACGGTTTGAAATCGCTGGTGTTTCTGACGTCACAAACGACCTTGTAACCAATCAGATCAACGTGTGATCGTCAACCAGTGGATCTCTGAGCTGAGTGAGTGAGTGGAGGCGGGGCTCACTTGCATATTCATAGAACCACGTATACTAAATGAGGCAAGGGTGTCGAGTTACATTCAAGCTATTTTAAGACATGAAGACATTTTTTCAAGGAAAAAAACATTTAAATGTGTAATTTTGGTGATCAAAGATGAGTTTTAAAGAGATACAATTATTGACTACAAGGGGTCGGGACTTTAAAGTAAATGTACAGTATTTCACTAACTGATGTAAAGTTAATATACCAACCTATTGAAGTACTAATATCGGTTTTGTACCATTGTAATACACTGACAGCCACCAATAACAGGTGGTGATGAGAAAGATACATGATGAATCAAAGCTTATCACAAGTATCTTGGTTAATACACCAATAGGTTGGTATATTATTCCACAAGCTGAGAAGGTCAATTCTAGTATATAAAATCAGCACAGTGTCATTCACACAAATACTAAACACCATCCTGGTAAGGCACACGACACTAAAGTAATGCAATAAACATTAATTTAACACAATTAGATGTAACATTGAAACCCTAATGTACATAACTGGTAAGAAAAACTAAGAAGAAACAGTTATTTCAACGAAAATATATCAAATGTTAAGTGTCACGCAGGGAATTATGGGAATGTCAATTTATGTTTTTTCACTGTAAATTATACAATGACTTGTTCTTTTTTTTACTTCTAAAACTGTAAATTTACCTGTATTTTACTGTAAAATTACATTAAATATAAGGTTAGTTGCTGCCTTAAGTATAATTAGCTTGGATGTTTAAGTCATTTCAACTTAAATTACATTAAACTCACTTTAAAAATTTGTTGAATCTTGTATAACTTATTATTTTTTTGATAAGTTAAAGCAATGGAAAAATTTGTCATAACTTATTGATCATATAATGTTTTACAGTGTATTACAGTTCTTCACCGTAGATAGTAATGAAACTTTATTTTTATTTTTACTGTACCATTTTTAGTCTTTACTCTTAAAATCACAATCATTTTAGACTTAAACAAATTGGTGTAGAAACTATTTACACTCAGAAATTGCTAGTAAATTTCACAAATAATTACAAAGTAACACACTGAATTAAATGTGAAGTTTTGAAGTGGAAGACTGAAATAGCATTTTTTTTGTAAAACGTACTTTGGTCTGTTTAATTTACATTATGGTTAGTTTGCTTATTTTCATTGCATCATTTGTTCTTAAGGCTCAACTCAAGCTCTCTGTAAACATGAAGTTGCACATTATAACATTTACCATATTTTCAGAAAAATAAGTCGCACCTGACTATAAGTCGCAGAGTCGTAATTGCATTGTTGAGAGAAATTTAATTGTATTATTACATTCTGAAAATGTTTAAATATTGCTAAATAAAAAACAAAATGTTTACAAACATTATAAACACGTATCTCTCACTCCACAACAGATCCTTTAAATTTAACGGCATTCAGAACAGAACATGAATGAAAAATATCATATAAACAACATTTATTATTATACCTTTATTATAATACTACTTTTAATCCAAAAAGAAGCCTCCAAATTTGTAAACAAATAATTAGCATATTTAAATGTGCAAATAATATGAATGACTGTATCTAAAATAAACAAAAGGAGCAATAAATAAATACTAATACATTTTTTTTTATGTGTGTGTGATCTATTTCTCGATATATATTTATATGTTATGTTTACAAGTGGGGTATGCTCAAATATTTAGTAGTGCATATTATAATTGCATTTCTGTCACATAAATACGCTTAGTTTTAGGCATAGCTGGTGCAACCATCCAACAGCTGTCCAGTTTTGAAGTGTGTCTTGTTTTACAAACTAATTGGTTTGAAATTCGATAAGAGCTTACCTTCCATAATAGTTACTGGATCCTCCATTTTAGGACGAAGGATATTAGGTCCAAACACGGTGGCCAAGTTCTGCACACCCATTTTGTTTTCATTTGAGTGAGACTGCACCTCATCCAGAAATCTATAAAAATGGAGTTCACTTTGAGCACTGAACCACGAAAAGGACTGACAAGAATGTGTCTGAAACCATTATGTTGGACCTACTTGCATATATATTTCAGAAGGTTGTAATTGGCAGCTGGAAGCGTTGTCACTAGCTTCCCTAATTCTTGTATTCCCTGTGGAAACATGAAATCACTGAAGCGACTACGGCATCCTATGGTTCAAAATATTATGTTTTTCCACATTTCATGAAAATTATGCTTTTCTAAAAATCAAGTGTTGGAAACTTGATAATATGTATAATGTAATTAAATTTTGACTTCCGCTTCACGCATCTTCTGAATCTGTGCATCGCATCATGTCAGCTGGGAAATATGTGGGAGGAACATTGGCTAGCAAACCGCATACTGACTGTAACAGCTTTCTGTTTTATGAGCACACAAACATACTTTTTGACAAAACTGCAGAAATAATTGGCACCAATACCAGCAAAAAGCTCAACACAAAACAAATTCTTTATAAAAATTAAGTTTTTGCTTAATATGGCAATTTTTGTTGTTACTGTTAACATTTTCTTAATGTTATATAGTTGTTTCAAGGGGTTAGTTTGACAAATTTGAGGTTTGCAACCCTTAATATTTATGATTTTATATTATATTATTCATAGACATATGGCAACAATCACAAAAACAACTGTGTTTAAACATATCCCAGGCTAAACACCTCTTTCCACTCATCATTTGTGGGAAATGTACTCTAGTTAAAGACACATTTGGATCATGTAGACCTGTGTTTTCAAATACATCTAAATGTTGTTCCTTTAAGTTTACTTCTCGACATTTCATACATGTTCAGATATTGTTCATTCACTAACCTCCTCCTCATCTTTGGCCAGGAGCTGAGCACAAGTGAGGAAATCCTCATACTTGCAGAAGGGAACGACGGGCTCGGGCAGCTCCCTGAGATACAGCTTCAGCAGGGAAGCCACAGTGTGGACATCAGTGTTACTATAGAGGACAGTTATAGGGTTAGTGCCAACAGTTGGAGAGGGTTAATTGGTTCCATGTCTTTGCTTGGAGTAGTTGGTGGTACCTGTCAAACTGAGGTTTGTCTCCACAGTCAAAGGCCTCCTGAAGGTCCTTGACGAGGTTGGCTTGTCCTGGCATCCGGAACAGTCCTTCTTCATCAAGCCCCTGTTCCCTAATGAAATCCACACACTGCTCAACCAAGAGAGGGGCGAGACGAGGACCAAACTTCCTTTCATACTGTACGGTGTCCTCCAAACGCTGACCAAATATGCCTGTAGAGATGAATCAGTTCTTTTTTAAAACGACAGATTCTTATACTGTATGAGCAGTCAAGACAGACCATGGCATTTACTCTACTCTAGGTTCTTTAGATTAGTAAAATGTTCTTCACAATAATGTTTATTTTATTTTAAGAATGGTTCACTGAAAGGTTCTTTTGGGGAAACAAATGTTTCTTCAATGCACAAACCTTTTCCATTGCACAAAGTCATTTATAGTAAAACAAGGTTTTATTTATAAAAAAAAAAAAAAAATTTCACTGAAAGGTTCTTTGGTACAGAGCTCCTAAAGGGACATGGCAAAGAAAAAATATATATAAGATGGGAAGAAAAATAATTTGGCAACTCTTTTGCGTTCCCCTAAGAAACTTTTGAGTGAATGCAAAGTTTCTGGGGGGAACGAGAGAACGCAAAAGCATTGCCAAATAATTTTTACTCCCATCTTATATATTTTCTCCTTCACCAATCACTATGTCCGTACTTTGGGGAACCCAACATAACTAGCTTATTTTTAAGCATGTAAGGTAGGTAATTCAGGAAAAAACATAGTTACCCAGCTATTTACCTAGTCATCGGCCAGGATGGATTTTTCAATAGCAGACCCCGATATTGACAACTAAAGAGCTAGCTAAGCTGAAATGCAACAATATTTTCACAAAATATTTGCTTGAAATCCACTACAAATATGTATTATATATTTAATGATATATTTAATTATACTACCAAAACATAGTAGCCTACTTGTACTACATGCAGTATGATAGCAAAATCAGTCTGTGGTTACTGATCACGTGACTTTGTTCGTGCCGTTTCACTCTTACCACACCTGCAGTTTTTTGACTGACAGCTTTACTCCAAGCAACAACAGGACAGCAGCGAGAAGATTCGCAATTACAGTGGCCATCGAAGTATTTCGAAGGACGCGAAGTACAAAGAAACACTCGTTTTTCACGTATATATTCTCTTTCCATCGATGTCCTGTCAGCGCATCCGGGTTCTCTGAGGTAACGTTAATCTTCTTGTTTGAGGCAGAAAGTCGCGCGAACTATTGATGCGTTTCAACCGCACTAACGATAAGAAGAACACACAGAAAACATGTTTTGATGTGGCTAGCCTATAGTTGTTAAATTTGTCTTAAGTTTAATTATATCAATCCAAACTAAATAAAAAAGCACGGTCTTTAAAAAGTCAGTTAATCTTGGCGTCAGTTTGGTTGACGCGAGACACTTGGAGAAACGTTCCCGCCGGTTTCGAGACCACGGTATGAAAATTACTCTTTCGTGTTATTGTACATCAAAAGATAACATAAACATGTTGTACAAGTTTTTACTGTTTAAGCTGCTGGAGACACGTTGCCACATTGTCTCTAACTGAGAGCAGATATCTTGGACTTGCTTTCATTACTTGTTTGAACTTTCTATTAATAACAGGGCCTTTGTAATTGAATCTCTGGATAGTGAGGGATCCTACTCTGCTCAGTGATATTTTTGTGAGCATGTCCTGGTCATAGCCTATCATGTGAACATACAAGACATCAGTGGCATAGGTTTGATTTCGAAATTGGTGGGGATGGGGACATCAATATATAAATATATTTTAAGTTTTGATCGAAATTATTGCTAGGTTACAAGAAACTTGTCACCTTTTTTACTGTCTGGAGTAATATCATCAGTGTCACTGGATATTGGTAGGGACACATCCCTAGCGTCCCTACTAAATTCTACGCCCCTGCAAGACATATCCAATGGCATAGATAAGTATTCACTTGTTTTCCAACTAGCTATACAGTAGCGCTATATGTTATGTGTTTAGTGTGGCTAATATTGGTAGCTGTGCTTGTGGTCCACCTGGTATTTACCTCCTCCAAATGGAGCCCATATGACCCGTCTGATGGCCTTCACCCAGTCGTCCATGTCACTCTGGGAGTTGGCCATGAGCAGAAAAGACTCATGGCTCATGGCAGCCTTGTCTTTCTCACCAGCTGAGACAGAAATCAAGAGATGCAATCTGTGAGATGATGGTATTACCTGTTTTTCACCTCTACATCACTGTTTATTACTCAACGATTCATATCTCCCTACATGTCTTGCTTGAGTAGTTTCTTGTAAATTTATAAATTAGTGTTCATGTAAAATAAATTGAGCATATACTGCAAAAGGCTATTTAAATAGTCTTAAACATGGCTGTTATAGCTTGCAACCAAGATTATTAGCCCAGGTAAAAATATAAATGTGAATTTCTATAAGCAACATTCATTAGATGGTGCTGCTGTAAATATTTTAGTTTGAAATTATAAATGGAAGTGTACATTTATTTAGTTGCTGTAAGTGGTTATGATTTTGTTTTGTAAAATGTAATGTAAATGTTTTGTAAATGTAATGTAGTAGCCGTAATATATATTTCAGTAGTACTTTAAGTCTGTAGCATCAAACTGTGGTTCAATCCATCTGGCCATCATTGGCATGAGCAGTTGAACACCTCACAAATCATAATAGCTTAAAGCAGACCTAGAAAGAAAGAGCCAAAGTAACACAAATGCTTTGCTACAGTAAAGGATAAAAAGAAGGACAACCTCTATAATGGCTTCAGTTTATAGCTTAAAGGTGACCTATAATTCAAAATTGAATTTACCTTGGTATAGTCAAATAATAAGAGTTCAGTGCATGGACATGACATAGAGTGAATCTCAAACTGGACTGTTTTCGCGTTCTCATTTAATTCACGTTTATGAAAAACACCCCTGAAAAACGGTCGGTTCTCCACACAATACCGACTGTGACGCAATAGTCGGGATCATTAATATGTACGCCTCCAAATGTTTGCATAATGCCAGCCCTCAATGCCAGGCGGAACTGCGCAGCCGAAGCATGGCAGTTGCTCAGTGTGGATGTACACATGAACACAAAAGTATTTTTTAGTTCCTTCATCTGAGCCTTTGAAGAAACAATGGGTTAATTTTATTTTCTCTGGAAATTTCCAAACATTTCACCGAGTGTTTCCTCAACTTGGGCCAATACAGAGCTGGCCTCGGATCGAGCTACCAAGCAACACTTTCTGATGTGTAATTGTTCGAGTTCAGACAGGTAATCTTTCTCTCAAAATCGTTCAATACTGTTTATGCATCAGTAAGTCAAACCAGTGACTAAAATATCAGCTTCACATCGTTTCTTTTAGTAGGATGAAAATAATCGTATTTAAATTGTGAACAAATTATATACAGAAAGCGATCAAAGAACAATCTTTCCACACAGCGCGAGTTTATCTGGACACTTGCCAAACTCGTTATGAAATCAATGACGCACGTTACTGCACAACGAAGCTCTTACTGTATTTACATCATCGTGTTTGCATTGGTGAAAGCATTAGAGAGAGTGCAGAAACTGCTTTGCAATGATAATATCTTCAGTCTCGCGATCAACACACTGTCATCTGCTCAATGCTCATCACGGCAACATTTTATGTGATGGGAATAGATCTAAATACTTTAAAAACATCTCACGATTCGTTAATCTCGATAGCTGTTATAGTAAAAACGTATAATAGCAGTAGTAAAAGTATTCGGGAGAGAGTTTCACATGTAATGCGTTGCTATTTCATATGCAAGCATGTCAGCCAATCACAGCAGTGGCCGCGGTTACACTGAATCCCACAGAGACACGCCCCTTCAAACAGAGTGTTCAAATCAGAGGCTAAAAGCAGGCTAGGAAAAATGCCATTTATTTCTAAATTATGATTATTTTTTATCTAAAAAACATACTAACATTATAAGGGTAACCCAGGAAACATTATAAAATAAAAAAAAAAAAACATTCTAGGGCACCTTTAACAATGATAAAGGCAACATTTTTATTCTGCCAGCCAGACAAAATGACTGAAGTAATAAGTCTTGAGACGGTAAGTGTTCACAGCAGACATCGACTGAACTGCTAAACAAAGTACTGATGCAATTAAGATAAATAATACGATCAACCCCAGCGAGACCTCTGAGGCTAACGCTCTCACACAGAGTGGAAGGCATAATGAGAGTCATTTCTCACCATGGTGTGGCATTTTGTTTCGCATTCATGTCTCTTTAGGAAGTGTCAGAATGACTGCGGATATTCTGGGAGGGAAAAGAAAAACAGGCTTGTGGCGAAAGTATGCAACAGTTATCTGATTAAGTGAATTCTGGGGGATTTATTCAAGCTGGGACAATCCCCAACCATTGCACTTTGACTAGGTATCTGACTGGTCTGATATAGGTTATTCACGTGATTTGTGCAAATCTGTGTTTTATTTGGGTGGTTATATGATCTGAAGAGAACTGATTGTCTTCTTTTCATCTTACCTCTGTATGATGCCTAATGAACTAGTGTTTATATGCGCTGCTCTTCTTTCTGTACAGCATTGTTGCTTTTCAGAGAGTGAATTTGCATTTTCATTCATCCCGTCTATCAATTTTGTTCCGACCAATTATATGTAACGTACTGAATAATTTTTTAGATCGAAATGTGATGTTTATCATTTTACAAAAATTCGTTTTTGTCAAAACTTGTAATTAAACTGTTTTTTAACTATTATCGAACTGTAAAGGTATTTAAATCATATTTTTTTGTGATGTTTTTTTTTTTTTTTACAGTTTAGGATGTTACCACAGACATTGGTGTTGATTTAAAGGTACATTGCAACCTTAACAACATAGTTCTGTTCTAATATCCGAATTTTCTCAAATTATATGAACTGCTGATTACAAGAAACTTGTCACCTTTTTTACTGTCTGGAGTTGCAGTAATGTGTACCTATTACACAATGTACTTTTTGAGCCTGTTTAATTAAGCCTATTTATCTTCTAATCATACGTAAAAATGTTCCAATGTCTGATTTTATTTTTTAAACTATCATTGTAAACACTTGAAAATGGCATTCAAAAGTAGCCTAGGAAAACCCAGACAACTTCCGGCAAATGTAGATTTGCTCTGAAAGTTAGTCTGGCAAAGAGCTCATTCAAGCCCATTTCCAATCCGTCGGAATCGCGGCACCAATCAGAAGCGTTGGGGCGGGCTTTACACGATGACGTCAGCGCTGGGATTTTGAAGCAGATTTTGTAGCCTACATTACAAAGATGGATGCCGCCGTCGAACATCACTCGTTCCAATCAGCTATCGCGTCTGTTTTAAGCCATTTGAACGTTTTCTTTTTGTTAAAAACCGAGCAAAGAACAACACTCGGAGATGTGTCTCCGCCGCTCTGCATACGTCATCTCCTTCATCGCTCTGATTGGGTTTAGGTCTATCCGCGACGTCCGCTGGTGACGCCCCTCTGGAAATGATTTGTCTATGACGCTTTGCCAGACCATAACTCAGTTACAACTGAGAATGGTCTGGTTTTAACCAGGCTAATTAAAAAGGGGTTTAGATTTACAATTTCGGACAGCATTTTGATTACCAACCATATTAAAAAACAAAAAAACAATAGAAATATTTTTATATTGTGGCATCCCTAATCCAACTGTTCTGTATGAAAATAATAAATCATCATGACCCAGCATTTCTAGCTCTTTGTTTGTATTGACCCATAGTCTAACAATGCTGTAACAGTATTATAAAGAAAATGGTAGAAAATCATCGTCACTTCGATCTCCAAGTGCACGAATAAAGGCATTACCTTGGGGTAGTGGTGGTTTGTGCCTCCGTGGCTTACAGCAGCCCTGCCCCATGATGCACTTGAGGGATTGAGCTTGTATAGAAGACTAATGTTGTGCCGTGTCTCTTACTCCAACAGATTTGCCATGAACCCCAACACGGCACATGTAGTTCTCACACCACACTGAATTCATGCTGCAGAAGTGTGTGCTTCAAACCATCAAATCTTCAATAAAACACTCTCATTTACATCTCAAACATGTCCCAGAGTGGATATAAAAACACGCTAGTCCATACAGTACGTCCTTAAAAAAAAAAACAGTGAGTAGAAAGTACTTTTGTTGTCTCAGTTCAGCTCAAGCAGCACCACTTCACTTCTCCTTCTCTCATTCCCACTGACTTCTCACGGTAGACTGACAGAAGGAGACGGCCTGCTCTGTTAGTCCTTTCTAAACACCTCACTGCACTTACGCAAACAAACAGCACACCAGATGCATCAATCTCAGAGGACCTGATACTTGGGGAAATCCTCACGAACTAAATATCAAAACTTTGTGGAGGCAAGAGGAAGCAAGCATGGGTTAGAAGACCAGAGCCTGCCAGGACTGGGGTCACAATCGTGCTCGATGCTTTTGCATTCTGAATGCCACGCAAAACACAGAAGCATGAAAATCTCCAAAATAATGCCAGGCTTTTTCCCATTGGATTAGATCCCGTTTTTTGTAGCACTAGTCATTAATCTCCCTGCAATGAATGGTGCCATTGTTGGATATTTGTTGGATGTAAAAAACAACAACAATATAAGATTGCTTTAATATTTCAGCGCAGTATGATAAAGATGTTTCCAAATCTTAGTTTTCCCTTGATTTAGTCTGTGCAGCTGTAAATCACGTCTTTCCATTTCTCCATTGTTATTAATTTCCCCAGTCACAACACAATCATTTCTATTTGTCACATTATTGTTTATTTTGCATGGAAAAGGGACTTTGTCAATAAGCTTGTTTGACTCAAAGGAGCTGAAGCATGCTGGTCATGTGGTTAAGAGCTCTTCTCTCGGGAGGAGAAGGTGTGTTGACTGATCTGGCATGAGAAAGTGGTGTCGGGGGCTGGGTAACGGCTGTGTGTTTGGCTATTTTACTTTAGCTAACACAGAATTCAGTTATCTAAATGTTTATGATGCACTTTAAGGGTGAACCTTTCGCTGATGCACCCTGATTCTTAAATGATTATGGATGATTCTATAAAAAATCTGAATCATACTTTAAATACATAATTATTATTATTGAAATGCAGTAACACTTTACTTAAACCCTAAAACCTTTTTAGGTTACACTTTATTCAATGTCTACAGTGGGCCATTCTACTAGCTATAAGTAACTCGGCAGCAAAATGTCAACTAGCAGTCATTATTAAAGTCACTATTAGTAGACTTATGGATTAGGTTAGTAGAATAAATTGATCTGTACTTGCAAAGTAACATAGTAGGACCATGATTAAAATAGTGTTAGCAGATATTAAACAGTCTACTAATACTCTACCTTTTACTCTACTAATACTCTTAGTTGACATGTAGTCGCAAAGGTACTTGTAGTTAGAATGTCTAAAGTGGACCATTAAAAACCTTTATGTATAATGGATTATAAATACACTCATAATGCACACTGTAATGCATATCTTTTAAAAAATATTTGTAACCAAAGTTAAAATGCATTATAATATTTGCAGATTCCTTGTCACATCTGAAATTGGTTGTTTGTCGTGTAGCTTTCTAAAGATGTAGCATTTAATAGATAAGTATAAGAATGACAATTATTGCATTGCAAGGCATGATTAATGTATTAAAATCATATCATATCATTTTATATTATTTAGTTTATGTGCCTAAATATTATCAACCCTAATGGACATTGCTCTGGAAAAGAATACACCATGTTAACCAACAAGAGTTCGATTATTTTTAACCAGATCTGCACAGTTAGATTTTTATTTTATTATTATTTTTGGTCATATTGCTGTCTCTGACTTGAACAACACAGGGCTGCATTTTCAGAGATATAAGAAATGCAATATTTCCCTTTTTAATATGGGACATTTACAAGAGAGAGAGAAAGGGGGAAACACATCAGACATCATCTTAAGGATTTAGAGAGAATTTATATCTTGTAAACACTGGAGGTTTGCTGCAGTTAGCCGAGTGATAGGCATGTAGTTTAAGGCACAGCTGTAATGAATTATTCTGTTTTCTTTGCTATATTGTTAAAAAAACTGTAATCACTGCAACCCCAACTGCATGTCTTCAAGAGCTCTGAGGGGTGTCACACTGATGTGTTGTTTACTGTCATAAATAAAACAAACAGACATTCAGCATCAGTAAATCAGGTTGACCCCAAATGACCCCTCTGCAATCAGAATATTCTGGAAGGCCCATTTGATTTCCTGACACTCAGAAACCATATCGACTGTTACTGTACGTTCACACCCTGTCAAGGACGCTTGTCAAAATGTATGGGGAAGCTTGTTGACGCTTTGAACGCTCTGACGTTGCAGGGAGAATAGAAGTGTCACAACATGAAATGTAATAAACAGAAAAAACAAGCAATACATTGAAGAAACCTTTTATAATGACAGCATTTTTATAACCGTTTTGCTCACATTTGGTCGGGAACAAAAGAATAGTTAGCTATTATTATTATTTGCATTAGGCTATATGCAATTGGTCAAGTCGGTGTCACCGTGAGCAAATGAATTGCATTCCCGCTTTAAAACGAGCGTTCGTAAATATTTCAAATAAAAGTTGCGCTCATGCGATTAGCAAACAACGTCATGTCATAAATGATAGGAAACCTGTAGTAAACACAGCAACGGCGATTATTAGCTTCTCTTCCATTATCTCAGAACTAATGTTTTGGTAGGAACGAAAGTTTACATCGTATGTTTCTCCGGAATCAGCCAGCGCGAGGGACGTCTATATTCCGATTGGTTGCTGGCGTTTTGCCGCTGCTTGCCGCTGAACCGCGTCACAGCTCATTACCATAAAGTTGAGCTTCTTTCAACTTTCTGATTGACGCTCAAAACGCCCAAAACACGACGCTGATGGATTTGACGCTCCTTGCAGCTGAGAAAAGCCAGCTTCCATTGAAAATGAATGACTTACGGCCGCTTTGGAAGCTCAAGTCAGCGGCGGTGTGAACGTACAGTTACATGCTGGTTTCAGTATAGGACAGCGATGATTTGAAGAGTTTCTCACCTGGCATAATCTCAAAAAGGTGTCGTCCAGGTTCTTCTGGGTTGGCTGTCAGCTCATTCACTTGGCTGCCCTTCAGTGAGATGCAGCCCTGCACAGATACATAGTTACAAATGCATCACCTAACCACTTAAAAATCAGTCAAACGTAATTACCATGCGCTCTTGAATGTAATTCTTTAATAAGCATGAAGTATTCATCTGGAAATGTGTAACCAGGGATTTTGAGTACACATTTTCTGAGTGCCTCCTTCAATTAGATAAACTATCAACTGAATGAATTACAGAGATTATTCACCAGGGCAACTCATTGCATGTAGATTTGGGGTCAGAATCTCCCCAGTGCTTTTAGCTATAGGCAGCTTAATCTATTTGGCAATATTCAAGACATTTTCCTTTTATTGGAGGCTCGAAGATGTTTTGACTATGGCGATTTAAGACAATTATTTTCAGGAAATTTCAAATTCTTAAGTTTTGTCTTGTGAAATGTTTGGGAATGCAAAATGTTCTTTGTGAACAACCATTAAAAAAAACACACAAAAAAAAAAAACAGATCATGATGCGTGGGATGAACTCCTTTTATCTCAGTGTGTGATTTGCTATGAGATTTTCCTACACAGCCCTTCCACTTTGAATCCCATTGATTAAAGGCAGGAAAAGTGGGTGGGATTGACATTTTCACACACATCCTGGCCAGCACAGCATGGGCTCAGATTAATGGTGCTTGGATGAGTATTGACAGTCTCCTGTGAGGGTTAGTTGCTCATCACACACCTCAGTCTGACTGACGCGGCTGGACGGTATTGATTGCTTAATATAAATGGTCATAAACCTGTTAAAAGCAATGTGCAAGCTTCTATTGTGGTGGCAATGTAAAACAACTGGGCATAAATGGAAGAGCTCACACTTACTGCTCAATAGCTCTTTGTCACATGATGCTTTAACATAGTGCAGTCTAAAACATTTATTTTAATGTAACTTTTTCACTCTATACTAAAGGAAAAAAATACAATATGTTTGCATATATTGAGGAAACATGCTAAGTTCACATAAAAACACTTCTACAGCCAGTTATTTTACTTTGAAATGTGTGTTTCCAGGCTGGCATGTTTGTTTTTGTTTTTCATTGTCCATTGCGCTCGTTCCTGTTGCATGTGCTCAAACTGGCAACCCGCGTGAGCGCCGTCTAGTCTGAGGAGCAGGAGGCGGGAGAAACGACGATCTCCAATATTTTGAGTTTGGACTGCAGTGCCTATTTCGACCACTAGTTGTCATTCTTACAGACTGCACCTTTAAAGCAACACTAAATAACTTTTCCTCTTCGGTCGCCCTACAGGTTGGAAGCGGTATTGTCCATTACCGCTGTCGTAAATAATTTAACCTACCGCACCCTACTGTCGCAGAAAAACTAATATAATGACTATTGAAACACTTGACGCAAAGCAAGTCAAATTTTTAGTTTTCTTATGTCTCATTCGAACTACAGAAACGCGACCTGTTCTGGCAAACTTACATAGTGTGGTTATAGCAGATATAGGGCTGCAAAGCGAATCCAGAAGTGCCTTTCACGTTACGACTCGATGAACCACTGATACAATTTTGGAAACATTATTTTAAGGTAAAAAAATGTTCTTTAGTGTTTCTTTAAGTGTTCAAGAAGCAGTTTAGTTTGGGGTGTTACACCTATTGACAGTTTTTTTTTTTTTGCCATATTTTGTTGTCTAACAAGAGCCGGTTAGCGACATTTCTCAGTTTCCCTGAGAGAATTCTTTTTGTATTTGTGTTTGTGTAACGATATTCAGTTCTGTTAATGATTCTTGATTGTGTATTTTTTGCACTGAGATAAATTACAATACTCTGAGAGGTTTCTCAGCAGCATCACAACACCGCTTATTAATCTACATGAACGTTTACATATGTGAATAGACAGACACTTAATAGGATGCAACTTACAGTACACTGCATGCAAGATATACATTTAATCAGTTTTATATGATTATGAAAGAATATCTTATGAGCTGGATCTTTTTACTGAATCAAACAAATTTCTGATTTCAAAACAAATGGCTGTTATATGAGATATTTATTTGACTAAATCAAAAATGTTTACTGCTACCAATATGTTTGGCAAATGCGTTTTCATTCACAAAATTCGGCAAAAATTTCAAAACATGAAAGTAGGGGGGAAATTACATAATGAAATAAATGTTTTTCTTCAAAACACTTTAGTTACAATAATTGGCGGCCCTAGAAATTATTTTGAGTAAAACATCTCTGAAGTACATTCCCCTTCATATGTAAATGTTTTAGCTTGCCAGGGTGACTAGGAAATGCACATTTGTGAAAAGTAACTTTTGCAAACTGTGGTTTCAAAGTGCAAGTGCAATCCAATCAGAAAACTTTGAGTTTCGTCAGGCCTTTGTGCATTCAAAGAACATGTAGGCTATGTGACAAGTTAAGTGTGTTTAGCACCATATTCAGCTCCGTAATCAGTAGACAGTTGTATGCTTTTGCTTTTACTTTTGTCAACTCTGAGATGACTCAATCTTTTGGCGCTTTTCCATTACCAGTACCAGCTCGACTCGATTCGACTCGCCTCGGCTCGCTTTTCGCTCCGTTTTCCATTGCAGCAGACTGATCTCATGAAATGGCGTATGTATGACACGCCAATTCGTATTTCCATTTTTGGCGTGCTATCAACACGCATAATCGCTTTTCAGCGTGTTTATCAACGCCGTTGACTTAACGTTACAGTACTGTATATATAAATATATGACCTACCCCAACCCGTCCCTAAACCTACCCGTCACTGGGGTTGATACCATTTATGAGTCTTCCCCTACCATCCTAGGAAAGAAAATATCGCTCCCCAGATGTAGATCTACATTTTGCTTCGTTTCGCTCGGACATTTAACGGCGTGTACATACACGCAAAAGATGATGGTTCACGCGGATAGCTCGAAATGCGTATAGATAACACGCCACTTGACTTGAAAGTGGTGTGTATGTTTACGCAAAAGTCATAATGTCATGTTGATTGCAGGCAGTACCGCCACAAATAGTACCTGGTCGTCATAGCGACGCCACTGGAAACTGCCGTGACGTAATCTTATACGCGAGTATACAAATCTTATACAAAAGGAAAGTGTGCACCTCCTCGTTTGACCACGGCGTATTCCCGAGTTGCCATAATAATAGTAGTAAGTTTAGTAACTATCTCTGGCCAAACTATTTAAAAATGGCAAGGTTATTCTGGATACTCCATCTGGCGCGTGCAATGATGACGCAGTGAATAGTGACGATTCTCTCTGACCAATCAGCAGTCGGCATTGTTTTCACGTCACATTTTAGTATCGCCTCAGCTCGCTCAGAACCTCGCCGGAGGTGATACAAAAAAAAGTACCCGAAAGCAGGTACAGGTACAACTTTTACACAGTGCAAAACCAAACAAAGGCGAGCCGAGTCGAGTCGAGCTGGTACTGTGTAGTGGAAAATCGCCATTTGATTACAGTCGTCTCGGTAGCATCTTCGTATGGTAGAGTTTTGGAAAGAGGCGTGTCTAATCGAATGGGTGTGTCTGAACTTACAGTACAGGACTTTACATGTAGTGTAGCAGCCATTGGAAAACCATCTCTCCATGGTGCAGTGGTGCAAATTCGGCAGTAGTTAAGCCCAAATTTATTTTGTTTCTGCATAGTGTTCTGGAGTTGTGAAGAGAAATGCATGTAGGTCTCTGAAGCTGAACATACCTGTGGTTTAGTTTCCTCCTCATCCTTATAGAAGTAGAGATGGTCAGCACGAAGCACGAACCAGCGCAGCTGCCAGTTCTTCATGATGCTCCTCTGCTTCTTCAGCCAGCCAGCCTTTAGCACCCCCTCTTGGAGACTTGGGGAGGTGGGCCGACATGAGCCACGTGATGCCTCTCCCATCACCATGCTCTTGGACCTGGCTGTAGGTGAAGAGATGTAGAGTCAATGAGACCTATCTAGACTTCCATGATTTAAGGATGACAAACACAGAAGCAGAGGGGAAAATGGTCATCATTTACTCACGTTGTTCTTGTGTGGAACACAAAAGGGGAATTGTAGTGTATTATATGGCTTCAGAAGACTTCATGAGTCATACCAACCATTTTTTATGAGAATTTTATTGTGCTTTTGTGTCTTTTTTTAAAGCTTGCCAGCGTCAGTCTCCTTTCATGGCATAACTGCATGGAAAAAGTGATCAGTACGTTTCTTTAAAAGTCCTCTTTGTGTTTCATGAACGGAAGAAAGCTTCACCAAAAACATGTAGCAAGGATGAGGTGAAACGTTTCACCTGTGTGGCAGTAAAAGATACTAAATATTCAGTGAATGATGCTAAATAATTTTAGTGTCATTGAGAGCAGATATCATGAATAGGTAAGAAACAGCTTCACAAACACATTTTTCAACATCACAGTATGGTTACAAATAATCAAATTATAGTACTGGAATAAAATGTTATAGTTCGGAACCATAGACTGTAAAAAAAGATGGACGACGCCCCTTCGCTCTCTTCCATTGGTCAGAACTGCGAAATCAAGGCCCCGCCCTCACTCTCGCAGAATCAATCGCAAGCACACGCTCCTGCACTTTAAAAAAAAATAATTATAGAAATTAAGATATTAAATTTAAAGCTCCAATCTCCTCAGTCCTCCGAAGATCCCGAAAGAAAGTCTTCAGTGACTACTTCGCTCAGAGAACCTGTCAATCATGACGTCACACCACCGCATCAAATAACGAACTAAAAAGAAACTTATTTTAAAAACAAACACTTGAAATTACATCAGCGTGATTAAGAACTACCATAAATGACAGAAACCATCTTTGGAAATACGATATTTGAAGTGTAATTTAATTGTTTAGTTGGTCTCACGTGCCGTTGAATAACACGGGGAGGCGGGGTTTATGACCTATACTAGGACCGGCCACCGGGGGGCGATCGAGACGTTTTGTATATGGTAGTGATCATAATAGATTTGATTCAAATCACCTTTTGAAAGTAACGTGGCACTTCAAATAGCCTAATGATTATATTGACTACATTGTTACACCAGTAGGCCAGGAATCATTCATTCAAGAGATACGTTCAAAAACATCCAGTACTCAAATAAGTGAAGTCGTTATAAGTAAGTCATTGAATCATGCATTCACACATGATAAAAAAAAAAATTCATTCAAATTAATTAAACATTTTAAATAGACTGCAGCAATTAAACTGGTCAGAACCTCTAGTAAATTGCATGTTATTTTCTTTACTTCAGAATTGAGAGAATCGTGATCTTGAGAAAAAAAGAGTGCTTCTTAAATTTTTTTAAATATTTTTAGTTCTTATTTATTTGATCTTAAATAACAATATCGTCCGTGCTGTGATGTTCTTTGTTTGCTTTGTGCTCAGCTTCATCTCCTGCAGCAGAATACAAACCATCATCCTCTTTGGTCTGTACCAGTTGCCCTCTGGTAAATGTATCTGGGGTTCTCCTGTATCAGGTGCTTGTTTTCTCATGACCGAAGGGAGTGAGTGCTCATACTCTAATAGGATCTCCAGAGTGTAATTTAGTCAGAGGCGCACTTGATATAGAAACCTCTGCAGTTTGCCATTTCACATAATATAGAGAAGACAGCACTATTTTGTAGTCAAACTACGATTATTGGAGTATTAACTATTCGGTAATGGAATTAAATATATAAAATATTTTGGGAACAGATTTTGACTGATATAACCGATTTTAAAATGTGGCTACTCTGACAGAGGCCACACACACACACACACACACACACACACACACACACACACGCTGTGGTGCTCGAGGCTTCAGGCTGGACTATGAACAATCTATGTCACCATGGATTATTTATCGCAGTCAGTCCTGCACAAGTCATCTTATGCCTTTGGGCTGTAGAGTCGAAATCAATGCATGTGTGACTTTTTTAATATTATTTTTCACTCCCAATCCACTGGTGAGTGTCTCAAATTCATGCATATAGGCTAGCATGCAGCAGTCGGGTTCGAAAAGTAGAAGTCCCATTCATTTTCTCCATAGGGGAATCCATTTTGAATGATAAAATAAACCTTTAAAGACAGATCTACTGTGAGCTACACAGTTGTCAATAGTTGTAATCGAAATTATTCAACCCCCATTGCAAATCAGGTTTATTAGCTAAATGTACAGACTTTCAGCTGTTTGCAATGAACAACAAATCAAACAAGAGTAATTGAAATGGCTCAACACAACAAATGTTTTAAGTAGTTTCCCACTTTCAGAACCAACAGCGCTAAAATATGAGATACTTGCGTCTGATTGGTCACAGCTTTAAACCAAAGTTTTTAATATTGTTATTCTCCTCGTAGCTGGTTTGTTCGGTTCTTGGCTCATAACGTTTTAAAAAAGACTTTTTTAAAAACTTCCGGAACCAACGTCGCTAAAAAAAGTGGGCCGGCACTGTTGCAGTCTATTACGCGGTTCTCTCGAATACTTGATTCTTATTGGTCACAGCATTCTCAACTCTTTTTTTTTTGTATATTGACTCTAAATTGTATAATTTACCATTGTCCCAAACTTTTTTACAACATAGCCATGATAGATCTATCGTATCACTCTTCCTGTATGTGTAAGGAAAAGACCAAATGTTTTTGGATTGCCACTAGCCGGCACTGTAAAAAATAAAATGCCATTTTTACGGTAAAATACCGGCAGCTGTGGTTGCCAGAACTTTACCGTCAAAAATATGGTACAGACGTTATTGGTTTTACAGACTTAACTTAAAATTTACAGTAATAAACCTTATTTTATCATCTGATATAATGTTAATTTACCAACCTATTTATGTATTAATATCTGTTTTGTACCATGTAATACATTGACAACCAACAATCATCCCAGCAGTGATGAGTCACATGATATATCAAAGCTCATCACAAGCAGCTCTTCCACGAGAAAGTTAGCACTAATTAGTAGTAGCTGCACAGTGTCATTCGCACAAACACTAAACACCATCATGGTAACACACATGAAATTGTAAAAATGCAATAAACATTAATTTAACAACATTAAATGTAACATAATACTCTAATGTACATAACTGATAAGAAAAGATCTAAGAAAACTAAGAAGAAACATAGTTATTTCAACAAAAATACATCAAATGTGAAGTGTCACGCAGGGAATTGTGGGAATGTCAATTTACGGTTTTTCACTGTAAATTATACAATGAGTTGTTCTTTTTCACTTCCAAAAACTGTAAATTTAACGGTATTTTACAGTAAAATTAAATGTTACCGTTAGATCTATCACAGTTATTTACTTACCGTAGTAAGGAAACTTTCTGTTAACCTATTAACAGTTTTTCACTGTAGCATTTTTACAGTCTTTTACCGTTAAAATCACGATAATTTTTTACAGTGTGGTTAAAACCAGACCATTCTCAGTTGTAACTGAGTTATGGTCTGGCAAAGCGTCATAGACAAATCATTTCCAGAGGGGCGTCACCAACGGACGTCGCGGATAGACCTAAACCCAATCAGAGCGATGAAGGAGATGACGTATGCAGAGCGGCGGAGACACATCTCCGAGTGTTGTTCTTTGCTCGGTTTTTAACAAAAAGGAAACGTTCAAATGGCTTAAAACAGACGCGATAGCTGATTGGAACGAGTGATGTTCGACAGCGGCATCCATCTTTGTAATGTAGGCTACAAAATATGCTTCAAAATCCCAGCGCTGTCGTCATCGTGCCGCGATTTCGACGGATTGGAAATGGGCTTGAATGAGCTCTTTGCCAGACTAACTTTCAGAGCAAATCTACATTTGCCGGAAGTTATCTGGGTTTTCCCAGGCTAGATTGCCACCCTTTCTCTTTGCTCTTTTCCTTAATTTTTCTTCTGTTGGTAACAACAAAAACAATCCGAACATTCAAAATTTCCCCAAAATTAGCAGTGGACAAAATTCAGCGAAAGGAATTTCCTGCAAAAAATTTCCCCATTTTGCTTATACATACTTTGCCATCTCCACTAGATTTAAATGTTTACTATGGAGGTACTGAGTCAGGATCTTAGTGAACCAAATGTGTGATGGCTGCTGGGTCTGTCTCCAATGGCCTTTTCCATAATGTCTCCTCCTCATCAGCGCTGCAGGCTTCTTGATTATATTAGCTGTGTCTCTGGGTGTGGTGGGTTCAGTAGCGATGCTCTGTCTAATAGAGGCCGGAGGAAGAGAGTGGTCTGCATTGGTAGAACAGGGGGGTTTCTGCATGGCGTTCTCCATATGGTTATGATATAGGCAGAATTTCCATGTTTAAAATCCCGAACTGCCAACATTTAGCTACCATTATACACAATTTTATAGTTAGTTAGCCATCTTAGGCCCTGTTTACACCTGGTGTTAAGATGCATTTTGGTTCAAGTAGACAATGGAGACACATTCCTGTTTGCACAGTTTTTTAATCCGTCTCTTTTGTCCACTTTTAACCATTTCTGTCCTGATTTCTGCGAGTGGAGGGTCTATTAGCTGGTAAATAAATATATGGGTTTTTTTTCAGATCTTTTGATCTGATGGACAAAATATCCCACGCAATTTACATATGAACACGACTAGAGACGACGGAAAAACATACGGAGAGCAGCAACTTTACCCAAGCGCTGTGAGTGTGTGTTAGAAATCAGGAATGGTGAGAGAACATTGTGCTTGATGTGTTTTTCATCTCCAAACCAAACTTGGGTCTCCAGCCAAAGTTTAAATCCCATCTGGCAGTGCTCTTCCCATAATGTTGAATCATTAGGTAAGTAGGCGAAGAGTAGATGGTCTTTTGTGGCTGTTCGAACGCATTCGACCACATTAGGGTTTAAAGCAATCCGGTCGAATGTGTTTTCGACTACCTCTGCGGAAGATAGTGTCCTGTATTTAGTGTATTTACCTGTATTTAGTGTCGTCCGCTTGTGATCCGATCGACCAAAAACATAATACCAGGTGTCAACAGGGCCATAAAGTTGTTAGAAAACGGGTGTTTTTTGCAGTTGTGTATGTGGTTAGTCTTGTTCTGCTGTGTGAGATTCGCATGATTCATATTCTGCAGCTCTAACCCTGAAATTGATGTAAATCTCAAGTTTCGACATTTAAAGGAGCTGTATGTAAGAAATGTTTTTCAATTAATCATAAAATGGCCCTGGTTTGTCTCTAGACATTAAGAAATCATGTTCATTTCAAATACTTATATCACTGACAACAGTAGTACGGCCACGATATTGTCATTTAAAAAGTGAAGTTGCAGCGCTCAACTGATGTTGATGTTGTCATCTTGTGTTTTGGCCTGAAGCCCCACCCTCCACCTATCTACCAATCACGAAGTCAGTAGTGTTTCGGCATCTGGGTTGCCAGCTCTGCTCTAGTTGAAAGCTCCTTGTAGCAGCCTACGTTCCTGCTGGATCCTGCAGCCTATCTGGCAACCTCGAGTCAGGGGGGAGGGGGAGGGGATGCACCGCTCTACAGTAATTTGAAAGTGATTGCAGTACCAGTTTTGGCCACAATCTTGCATACAGCTCCTTTAACATTATCCACTCACTAAATTTTGATTATGACTTGGTGTGGTGATCATTTTAGGCTTTCTTTTAGTAGTTAAAGTTGAACTAAATTAGCATTTTATTCTATCACAGGTGAACACTAGGAACCAGCAGTGTGATATTCGCTTGTACGAGTAATTCATTTTATTTTCTGTTAATAGAAATCGAACCTTTCGGCTTTGATGTGTTTAGCAGAAATACAAACATTCAATGTTTTGTAAAACCTTCCCTCACAGCTGTAAATTTGACCTCATGGCTGAAACGTTTTCACTGCGCTCAAACGTTTTGTGCCAATTAGTTTTTGAAAGGATTAAGCATTTCAGTGCCGAAGTCAAATGAAACCAGTGTGCAAATCTCTCTACACGATGATTCATACCTTCCCACTTTGTCAGGGGCGTTTCTAGGATGTGGTCACCAAAACTGCCTGTTTTGGCTCGGAGGGGATCAACTCGGAGAATACTTGCCTCTAAAGTTGCAATTAAAATATACTGGAAAGAATGTTTTCAAGTTGTGCATGATGACAGTGGCACTGGCGCCACTTTTGTGGCATTTAAATTTGGCACCCTTAGATAAACTCCACCTCAGATTAAGATTAGTAACTATAAGACACAAACTAGAGCAGGGGTTTTCAAACTTTTCTACCCCTTGGCATGAACCCCTAAATGTGATGGCAGCTTCATTTAAGAAAAATAGGGCTGATATTATATCGTATTATGTGTTCTTTTCTAAATTAAAACATTGGCTTTTATATTATTATATAAAAGAAAATTATATCTAGAAATAGTCTGTTATAGTTGTATACAATTATATAGATATATCAAATTATATATGTAGATATATAAAATTATTTTTAAAAAATGCACAGATTTTTGATTACATTTTATTATTTTATGTGACTGTAACCAACAGCATATCACATTCCAACATCGAGCAAGTAACTTCAAGGTAATAGGGTCCATTCCCAGGAAATGATAAACTGATACAATATATACCTTGCAATGTAAATGCAAATGGCTTTGGATTAAAGCAGTCCTTCGGGAAATAAAGAAAGTATAATGTACAGTCAGCCGGTGGTTATTGCAAAACAAACCCCTTCAGGGTAATGCAAGACCCTGACGCAATTTATTTTTTGCGAAAATGGCCAAGTAACTGTTAGGCTTGCTGCGGTATCGGTGTTACCGGTGATTGGCCACCGCTGCATATCACCCACTGCCGTTTTGCTTTTGTATAGAAATATATATATTTTTTTTAGTTCAGTTGGACAAAAGACGCTACAAGCAGCCGTGATTTCACTTGACGATCACGTAACGAAAGTAAAGAGAGATGACTGACAAGAAGAAGGCGGAGGATATGGTGCGCAACAGATCTGGAGCATCATTGACACATCTTATCTTGTACAATGTGCGGTCAATGAACAGCAAAGAGTGCATTCAAGAGGGATCTCAATACCCAACATATTGATAGCTAACACCCTGATGCCAACATAACCCAGTGTTATTATTAGCAATACTGGAGTTTTTTAATTTTTTTAATTATTTAATAAGGGACAATGCACATTAATGAACATAAGGGCAATGTCCAAATGTAAATGAGCCAGATTTAGCTGTACAGACTAATTTTCATCTGGAGTCATATTACATGGATAGTTAATAAATGAATGGAAATATAAATTTTAATAAGAAATTGGAACATTAACTGAAAATAGCACATCTTTGTTGGAAATCGGTTGGGACAGCGTTCAGTTTTACAGCTTGACGGTCTTTATACAAATCCATACGACCGAAGAATGCTGTGATTGACCAATCAGAGGAAAGTGTTCCAGAGTGCCGTGTAAATAAATTCATGTTTGGTGCTTTAACATCTCCTCCCCGCAGATGCCTTGATGTTCAGCAGGTACTGTAGCAGAAGGCATGATGGGGGATGGGCAGGGAGCTATAAGCAGGTTTGAGGATACATAAAGGGGTAAATCACTCGGCTTCTTTCTACGCATTGAGCTTTGGTTATTAACACAACGTCATCCATCAAGTTGATGCATGATGAATGAAGCCTTGTGCTTCAGATCTTCCCCTGCCTGTATTTCACATCTCACCCAAGACTGTGCTATAGGCTGCTGATGAATGATGATCAGCCGCTGTGGGCGTGTGTGTGTGTAGAAGCTGAACAGCGTGTTGCGGATGATAGTGGAATGTGTGGCTTGATGTTCATCTGTCGAGGTGTAATATGCATCGCTGGATGGTCGTGGTTTGACGTATGGTCAGCCACAGCACAACGAGAGCCAAGCAACGGGCTCTATTTATTGTGGGGTTTCTTGTGCATTTTAAAGTTTTTTTTTTTGTCTTGCAGGTTGTTTTAAATCTAATTTTTGATGGTGAACATAGGTTGATTTATCAGTTGGACAGCCATAGACGTCGATCGATGTGGGTGTTTATTTCCAAAAATGGGTATTTATTATGGCAAGGCGAATCTCATCAATTTACACATACTCTGAAACTACAACATTTTTTATTACAAATAAAAAGCTGACATGGTTATCAGCCAATGCCAATAATTACAAAATAGCAAAATATCAGTAAATATCAAAATCTGTTAAAATATTGGAAGTTTTATTAGCCTAGTTAAAAGCAATATATATGTCACAAATAGGTATATCTTACGTTCACAATCAAATATTTTTTTTTTTTTTTTTTTACATTTTGTAATTTGCTGCTTTTTTATGAGAATATTCAATTTGAATGAGAAGCATGCATCTCTCTATATAGAAATTTATAATTTATCAAACAGAATTATTTTGATGATGATCATACATTTTAATGAGAAACAGGCATCTCTGTTATGAAAGCAGCAAATTATGAAATGTAATCCCATTTATTTATCGCATAAAAATGTGATATATATTTGTGAGATTATGCCACTGATCGATATATAAAAATGTATATATATAACATTTTTATTTTTTAAAATTTATATAAAAAATGATCAGTTGCTTAATTCCACAGTCAAAGTATCAGATCCAGCCAATATGGTGAGAGCAGCTGAAGCAGAGATGCTGTGAGATCGAAGCACGTACAGTGTGTGTGTGTGTGTGTGTGTGTGTGTGTGACGCGGCCCCTGAGAGGTGACAGATGATGAAATACAAATGCAGAGTACTGTACCTCTCCTGGTCTGTCTGATCTTTGGACTCAGCATGGCTGCCATCGATGGGCTTCTCTTCCTCTGCTCTGCATATTCCTCTTCCTCAGATCTTCTCTCTGTACATTCTCCCTCTTCCTCTCCTCCTCGCTCTCTCCGCTCTTCCCCGCTAGCTCGCTGACCTCATGTTGCAGGCACCGGCTGGTTGGGGGCTGGGGGAGGGATTCCTCACACACACATTGACGCGTGCACATGCTCACTCTCCGGTTCTTACTCGCAGACGCACACACGCACGCTGGTCCACACCCACCAAGCGTTGCATTATTCATCATGCGCTCCTCTACATTGACCAGTCAGTGTGTGTGTGTGTGTGTGTGTGTATGATTACAGCAGGCTGCCCAAAGCCACTCACCTTCTAATTGGTGGCAGGCATGTGTGCTCGCGCTCCCTCCATCTCTGGGGAATCTCACCCTGCATGCCTCTTTCATATGTGTGCGCACACATCTCCATTAGGGATGTGCACTATTAGACTAGTCCAGCACTTATCTTGCAAGAAATTAGTCAACCGGTAAAATAATACTCAAGTTATTCGCGAATTGCATGTTCAGGCACCAATCTCTTACATAAATCTTGCTGTTTTCTGAATGTGTTAGGAGCTGCTGATACAGTGCTTATATATATATATATATATATATATATATATATATATATATATATATATATATATATATATATATATAATAATAATATATGTGATAGTAATAAAGTGTGTATATATATACAGTATATATATACACTACCGTTCAAAAGTTTGGGGTCAGTGAGAATTTTATTTTTATTTTTTGGAGGAAAGAAATCAATACTTTTATTTATCAAGGAATAATTAATTTGATCGAAAGTGACAGTAAAGACATTTATAATGTTACAAAAGTCTTTTGAACTTCCTATTCATCAAAGAATCCTAAAAACAAAACAAAAAAACTGTACAACTGACAGACCAACAACTGTTTCAACATTGATCATAATAATACATGTTTCTTGAGCATCAAATCCTCATATTATACTGATTTGAGAAGGATCATTTGACACTGAAGACACTGACACTGGTGATGCTGAAAATTCAGCTTTGATCACAGGAATAAATGACACTTTACTATATATTCACACAGAAAACAGCTGATTTACACTGGAATAATATTTAATATTATAACTGATTTTTGTTGTATTTTTAATCAAATAAGCGCAGCCATGGTTAGCAGAAGAGAATTCTTTTAAAAGTATTTAAAATCGTACCGACCCCAAACTTTTGAACGGTAGTGTATATATATATATATATATATATATATATATATATATATATGTGTGATAACACACACACATATACAGTATATATATATATATATATATATAAGAATCTAATCGTAATCTTAATTTGCTACAAAACATGTACACCATTAAACTGACATCCATTTTTACAATTATTTTTATAGGTTTGGAAAATAAGTAAATGATAACAGATTTTTTTTTTTTGGGTGAAATATACTTTTAATTCATATTTTTATATCTTATAAGAATTGTCATAAGAAAAGGTAAATCTCATGAAATGAATGTTTTAACGGTGACAGTCTAATGTTTGTGAATAAAACCGTTTAATTTCTCATGTAGTATGCGTCATACTCCATATTTTGTTTTTACATTTTAAGTGATTATACAATAGACTATGTGCACGTTAGCATATGCTACTTCCGGCTGCGAAACCGATAGGGGGTGTCTAGTTTCCGGTAGCCTGATGGACGACGTAGAAGTAACGTTAAACATTGTTTACTTTTCACAATGCAGCAGCGCCTGGTTACCGTAATTCCTCAAATAAAAACCGGTATTCAAATAAACGCCGGGCCTCTGATAATGGCCGGGTGCGTGATCAACGCGGACAAATAAAGGCCGGGGGAAAATTAGTGTGGATAATCTCCTAAATGACTTTCATTGAAGAGATGTTACACCTGTCCACTTCATGCGTGTTCTGTGATCTGATCGTGAAAAGACCATGTATAAATGCCATCCGAAGCACATTCGAGACAATTTAAATCCGATCGCTCAAACCACTTCTTCAGGAGGAGATCTGAGACGAGATTCCAGACGAAACTGCACAAGTGTAAATCAAATGCATCTGATTGTTGAAACCACGTATCTAAATTTTACTCCTCCCAAAAACGCAAAAAAATAAGTGTGAGAGCGTGTTATAGGCTATGTAATGTTATAGCAAGATGTGACAACGCTACTGCAACACGCATCACGGCAGCCGAGCATCTATCCATAAAGCCAACGTGCAAACTATTGCAAATTAAAGTGAAAGTAAGTCGCAGACAATTCTCCTCATCATTAAAAGTAAAGAAACGAAATGATCTTACCAGGCTTGTTGCCGCTCTCGCTTATTGCGGTCTTTTGATTTAGAAATGAGCTGATCTATCAAATGCAGCTCATATCTGTTGCTTTCGGTGACGTCCACTCCATTAAATCCGCATATAGCGTGGGAATTGAAGATTTATATCCGTTTTGCGAAAACGCATTTGTGAGCAGATTTAAGTAGAATTGTTTTGATAAATCAGAGAGCTTTCCGATCTGAGAAAACACATGAAGTGGCCAGGTGTAAACATCCCCTAATATGCATTCAAGTTCATCGTAACGTACAGCCAATAGATGGTAGTAGACAATAGATGTAACACACATATAATTTAGTGCTGCTAGTGTAACGGTCTTTTCAACAACTTTAATGAAAACGAAATTGTCTTGAGGAGCATGGAACCCAGACGGAAATTTGATTTAGATTTTTTTTAAATAAAGCGCCGGCCTCTAATAAAAGCCTGTTACCTTCTGCAGTTTAGGTAAATAAAGGCCCCAGCTTTTATTTGAGGAATTATGGTATTACCACCGACTGCCCTTTGAAAAGTGAATCGGTTTTTTTTATGTTTTAGGTCCATTGCGAACGATTAAACTAACTTAACGCCGGTCCACTGATGTAAACAAGACGGCAACCGGAAACGAAGTACCCAATTTCCACCCTCAAGCCGGAAGTTAGCATTTTTCTCGTGCACAGAGCGAATTGAAGTGATTTTCAAGTAATCCATTACCAGTGATGGGAATAACGGCATATAATACTTAATACATTTAATATTTAATATATATATATATTAATATTTAAGTTAAATTTAGTAATTTAATAATTTAAGTATTTAAATTTGGTGTCTCTCACACTGTCCCACAGTAACATTAAAATAGTGTAGATAAGTGCACAATGTTTTATAATAATAATTTATTCTATTTAGTGTCCATTTCATTCATTTAACATATTTAATATTGGGGGTATCAAAGTTATTTCACCACTTTTTTTTTTTTTTTTTTTAAGTAACGCAGTAGTTACTTTCCCTGGTAATTAGTTACTTTTGTAATAATGTTTTAATAATGAGTTACTTTTTGTGAGAAGTAACTAGTAACTATAAGTAATTACTTTTTTAAAGTAACTGACCCAACACTGTCCATTACTGGTTTCTACTGGATATAACTGGTGTTATTTTACTGGACACTGGAGTGCTCAACAGCTAAATTACTCAAATTGCCCCTCTCAAATCTCCATTTGATATATTCGGCCCACCCTTTTTCTCCTCTTGTCTTCCTTTTCTCCCCTGTCTTGTTCCTAAGCCGCCCCCAGTATGGCAGATAATAGCACGGCTCCACCAGTGTGATTCGGGAAGCTCGGCCCTGTAGAGCGCAGCTGGTCCTCAGTTCGGATGGGGCGGGAGGAGGGAGGCTGCAACACCCTGACGGAGACCTAAATGAGACAGCAATAAAAACCTCATCCAACCGCCACCAGAGCCGAGAGCTGCTGCTTCAGGCGCAGGGTAACCACCGCTGACCTGCCAATTCCCAAATATACTCTACCCTCTCAAATACAGCGCTTTGTTCTCTCGCAGTGCGTGTCTGTCAAACCGTGCCCTCTGAGACTCCAAGACTATGTTTACATTACAGATTAGATGGTGCGTCGATTCCATGGATTTGCACTTTGGCATTTCATGGGTATATCTGTGTGTATCTTTCATGTATATATATTCATAGATAGATAGATAGATAGATAGATAGATAGATGGATAGATGGATAGATAGATAGACTCTAAAAAATGCTGGGTTATTTCAACCCAAATTTGGGTCAAATATGGACAAACCCAAATGTTGGGTTAAAAATTTAATTAAAAAATGTACAGTTGAAAGTGAAAGTTGAAGTTGGGTTAAAATTTTAAATTACATTTTTAACCCAACATTTGGGTTTGTCCATATTTGACCCAGCATTGTTTAGAGTGAGTCAAACCAAAATTTATTCAGACACCTTGCTATCCTAACTTACATAAATGAACTATAGTGTCCTGCTCTGTAAAAAAATATATCAAAAAGTATATGGTGTCTGAATAATTTTTGGTTTAACTGTGTGTGTGTGTGTATATATATATATATGTGTGTATATATATATATATATAAATAGCATGTCACATTCTTTTTATTCTTGCATACTTAAGGCTAGTAAGGACATTCTGATATATTAAGAAAATCTTTCTGGAATTGAATAATGTGGTCTATCTAATGCGAGTTCTGCCCGGAAAAATGCCCATCTGCGTTTTCACAAAATGATTTATTTCCTATAAACATCCCATTCGGCAGATGCTTTTATGCTGTATCTATTTTGGAAACCATCGTACCACGTCCTAAACCACTCAGATGGGATGCACTTGACTGTCTGGTCATTCTATACCCTCATGAGTGTTTACATGATGTTTTAGCTGTTTGTTCAAAATGCTTCTTTGTCCATTCTCATGCTTTGCGAGTGGTCAGGATGTTTAGTCTCCCGGGGATGTGTTTTTCCAGTCGGATGATCAGAGCACCACTGCTGGATTCTTTGATCTTGAGATGTTTTCCTGAAGTGGGCAATTTCTGGTGCATGTCATGTGTTTCATTTGGCTTTTTTCTTTAAAGAACCTATTCTGCTCAGGCTGAAAATACATTATATTTGTGGCTTTACTGTAAAGATTGGGTATGATGTGTATATGTATACAAATACACACACACACACACACACACACACACATACATATATATATATATATATATTCTCACGTAAATGCGTCTCTATAGCACGCATTTTGTTTTATCGTGCAATTTATACGCGAAAATGAGTTTTTACGTGCATATGATACGCAGTTTTCGCGTGCATTTGATACGCAGTTCATTTGTGTGTAATACACACGCACCCCACACCACTAATTCTACCCAAACGTATAATACACACGCACCCCACACCACTACTAAACCTACCCTAACCAACCCATGCGTATCTATGCACGTAAAAGCTCATTTTCGCGTATAAATTGCACGATAAACACACTATAGAGACGCATTTAGTGTGATCGGGTTGATATATTGGATAAGATAGGTCCTTGATTGTTGCTTTCAGATTGTAGTGCATTTAAAAATATATATTTTTACTGTATTATTAAAAAATGCCATGCATGATGTTAATATTAAATTTTTTTTATTTATATTTTAACACATTGATGTTGCAGTGTCTCAAACCCTCAAGTCTATTATGACATTAGGGACCAAATGTTCAATAAACCCTGGATTGTTCAGAAGTATTCTGATCAGCGCAGCTGCTGCTCTGTTGACTGAGATGCAATGTCACATGACTTATTGATTTTGGGAAGTATTAATAATTTAGGAGGGCACCTCCAGAGACATGACATGCGGTGATGGAGCAACAGGAGATGTTTATGGTAGATTTTCAAAGTGATAATGATGCAGACCTTATTTTACCTATCTTTATCACAAGACTAGAGATAAATCTCATTAAATTAAACTGTTATAAGGATAACGTAGTTAAATGTTTGTGATTAAATCAACATAATTTCAGACGTAGAATGCGTTACTGGTGCTATTTTACAGACCTCGTGCTCGGACCATCAGAGTCTGAGACTATTTTCTAGGTAAAATATGTTCTTCCATTCAATGTTAACTTCACTTTGATCCACTTTAGCCTAATAGCAGGGTTGAGTTTTGTTTACTTTGACTTCTGGTGGGAGTAATCGGATTACAGACCTCCAGATTCATTCAAATGAGTCATTTCAAGATGCGGAGCACCAAATAACAATACTTCAAACCTCATACGCTATGGCTTATGTGTGTTTATCCAGTTAAGAATAAGCATTTAAGCAAGATTTGGTTTGATAAGAGGAATTTAGTTCTTTCCAATTACATTATGCATGGTTTCTAACCCCTATATACTGTACCAAAAGAAAAAGTCTGGACATGTCATGCATCTTGAGATCTATTATCTCTCACAGATTGTGGTGTAAATGTTATTTTGTGTATTTGTTGTTCCACTGTTTAAACAGAGAAATCTTAAAATGTCTCTTGTCAGGTCATGAGCAGATCTTCAAAACAGCACGAATGTGGGGAAATCAATAGAATTGAGCCGAGTGTTAATTAGGAAACTGTTCCTCAAGAGAAATGAGAAGAAAAAAAAAATCAATATGGACATAATAATTATATTCACCTGCACCTTTTCTTCACAACAAGAACAGATGATGGTGAAAGTATGAAGGTGCAAAACATCTGTTGTGTTTTGGTATTGCTGACAAGTTGTTACACGTTTCATTATGCTCAGTTTTCACTCCATTTACAGTCATATTAGAAGAACGTGCATCCCTTTAAAGTGACTTAAATTTGTGATTCCTGAAGTAGCTAATTGTCCTTTGGTATTTCCTGAATACATATCAGATGTATAGCTTCAAGTAATTTGCATTTATATTTATTTGTGTAGCATAAAACTTTTTCCAAAGCTGCACCTTGATGAAGTGTAGTGCTCACACTTTCCAGATGTGATTCTAATGTCATTAGAGCTCCTCTAGGGGGCAGCAGTGAGACCCGAGGCTGTTTAGATATTTGCTACTCCCTAGTGGTACATAGAAGCTATTGCAGTATAAACGCCACTTACAACCAATATTATACTACTCCTTACAACTCCATAAATACATTAACATGAACTCCTATGAGGGTCCATCACTACGTCTTGTATGATACAACAAGCTTTTTTTGAGGAAAGTTTTTTGCACATCTCTCAATCATCATTGTATTGCATATCGTGATTTGGACTAGTCTACATGTTCACCTCCATAACTCTTGGTTCTCTTGTGCGACAGAGTTTGGCGTTAGGAGACCCGCAAAGTTGGACTTCTTTAGTGTAGAAGCTGCACTTATTCGACTGTCTAACTTCTCCCTGTCCTTCTTACACCTCTTAAGGCAGTCGGTACACAGACAGTCCTCTCTCACTAAATACAGACACTCGACTCTCTGGATGCAGTCCACCTCTGGAGGCTCGTCTGTAGGGATGGGGTTGGATTTGATGTTGATCTTCTGCAGTTTTGGGAGGTTTTGGATGCACTTGGGCAACAGTGTCAGGAGGTTGTTGAAGAGCCCCAGTTCCCGAAGCTCTTTGAGAGCAGCCACAGATGTTGGGAGAGTCTCGATGCGGTTCATTCCCAGGTTGAGGATCCTCAGGTTCCTCAAGAGCCCGAGCTCATGTGGCAAGCCGGAGGTGGTCAGGTGATTGTTGCATAAGTTGAGGCTGTAGAGGTTCGGGAGACGGCCTATAGCCGCGGGAATCTGCTCCAGGTGGTTGCTGTGCAGATCCAGCAATCGGAGGTTCACAAACTTGTCGATGGTGTCGGGGATCTTCTTGAGGAGGTTGCGGCTGAGGTCCAGCTCGTCTACGTCGCTGAGCTTCAGGATGCACTTTGGAAATGTGGCGATCGCCATGTTGCTGAGGTCGAGGCGACGTTTGCCGTCTACTGTCACCTTCAGAGCGTTCTTCGCCATCTTGAGTGTGATTTTTCTACCTGACGGATCATTCGATTTCTTCTTCCCTTTCACCATTGTGTCTATGAACAAGGCAACATTGTGTAAGTTACTGTATTTCTGAACAATAAGCCTAGTGAGCTGTCTAGTGGGCATCATTTAAATGCAATGTAGATGTGCTTTTGGTCAAATTCTAAGGCAACGTCACATTTAACATTTTGCGAAAAATTAAACGCATAATGATCTGACAAGCTCTGTGAAAAACGTCCACCCAAATGGGGAGAAATTATTTATTTCCTATGCTGAAGTCAACAAATGTCGAGTATAAGGGGGCTAAAGGCAAACCTGAAGGAAAATCTGTTTTTCATTTCTCTCATAGTGTATGGTTGAAGAAAAAATATATTTATTTTTATTAAGGATGCACCGAAATGAAAATTTTGGCCAATACGATAACCGATAATTCTTTATATTTGAAAGCCGATAACCGATATATTGGCCGATAAATCTAAATCCAAATTTTTATATTATTTCTGAGAGCCTGATTACAAAAACAAGTGTCACTATGTCCCAAACACACAATTATGTTCTCATTATAATTTTAATTACCACACCTTTAAATTACTAGTATTATTTGAAGTTAACATTATAAAATATGTAGACCTACACCACAAAACTAGTTGAGGATAATTTTTAAAATTGGGCAATTCCAGCGTTATGGACATGACATTTGATGTAAAAAAACTTGAAATGTAAATTCTCAGAAAATGCATTTAATACCAATATATTGAAACGTCTGTTTATCCATACTCCTTAATAAAGGAGTCCAGACATTAGAAAAATATCAGTCTAGTCTACACATGCGTTTTATATTTAATATGAGGGAAATACACATCTGTAACGGACGTGACACAAAAAAGCTTTTATAAACTTTTAAGTGGCAAAAGTACAAAAAGTAATACTACCCACCGGATGAAGAAGGGTTGGCTCTCCACAGAACAAAATATTCATTTTGTCTTATTTTTCGTGTTCGCGTTTATGAGGGAAAAACAATGTTACGTGACAGTTCCCCGTTACGGACGTGAGCGCTCTGAAAGCGGCACTGAAAGACTGCTTTAAAACTTTCCCAGAGACATCAAACATAAAGTACAAAGCCATTCATTACGGCGAATTTCGTTTTGTATTAATTGTATCTTAATTTTAATCAATGTTTCATCAACCAATTGTCTGGATTTAATAAATAAGAAGTAAATATAGCAGACAATAGATAATCACGACACGGAGGCGCCGGCGCGTGAACTGGAGCTCGTCTCATTAATGAACCGAGACACAGCGTATAAATATATCTATAGAAAGCTCGAAATGTGTACTTTTACAGAACAATTCAAAACGAAAGAAAACAGACTTTTCTCTGAAAGAACGCGATAGCCTTTGTGCTTTACTTTTATTTAACATATAAGCTTACTTGGCTCAACAAGTGACACATTATTACATATGCATTCATCAGATATTTTATGTTTTTTTTGTTGTTGTAATTTTTCCTTTTTTGTAAGGAGTAATATGTATATCTTTAGAGTCTTGTTTTATTTATTTAAGCTTATTCTTATTGTTACCATAGCAATATGCTAAAGGCAAACGTTATGGGTAGCAACGTTATGCAATGTTGACGGTGTCCTTGTGTAAATACACAAGCTGTCCTTTCTAAACCAAGAAAAAGAATGATTAGGAATAAAGTCCCTGGAGACTCACTACTTACTATATTGGGACAAAGTGTGTGAGTGTGTCTGATAGAGGTGACTGTCATGCATCAGTGCTGCTGTTGAAGGACAGACGAGCGCTTTGTCTAATGAAATGAAACGCTGCCCAAATCAAAAAGCCAATGTGTTTCCCAGTATGCCACCACACAGCTCACTGTGCAAACTTAAACCGGCCAAAACTCCTCAACAATAGTTAGTGCATTTGAGATCTTGAACTGGTATTTTATATACAGGTACATGTACAGTTTTAAAAATAACATTTTTCATTGTTACTTCATGTTTATTCATGATATAGGGTACAACGGGGCTAAAGGCGCACCGGGGTAAAAGGCGCCTTTGATTTTATATTCCTCTAAGCCACTAGATGGCACAAAAACTTTCCTAAACATCTGCTTTTCAAGATGCAGGTGGAAATGTGGCTGATCATCGCGGATCGCGGACAGCAGCGCAAAGTGGATTCTGCGCCAGGCCCGGCTGCAGGATGAAAGGACTGAGGGGGGATGTGAAATTGTTAAGGGGGCTTAACTTTATACCATCAATGAACAATCAATACACACCTCGCTTTGGAACAACAGATTTTTAAATACAGCGCTCCATAAAACACTCCATATGCAACTGCACAGGTAATCGCGTAATAAAAAGATAATTTATTATTCATATATGAACTCTTTCACGCTTAAGTTTAAATATTCTAACTGACTCCCCAGAGTGAGTTTTTATTTTAGAACGTTCCCCCTTAATGTTTCCATGGCAACGCGTCATGTGACAGATGTGTATCGCTTTTATTTCGTTTTTCCTTTTTTATTCAAAATATTCACAAACTTGCTTACCATGTCATCAACTATCTGATATTCCGATGGTCAAAAATGTGTACGTGAGTGTGTTTGGTCGTTTAAAACCTTTATAAATAATCTCACTATAACGTGAGATGGGCGCCACCATGTTTATTTGCGCCGCATTTCAGTGTCCTGTCAGGCTGTCCTCCAGGCTGGCTGTCAGTCATCAGTTTCTCCCGAAATATATGTAAGAAAGTGGCCGGTGAACTGTGAGAAGAATAGAGTAAACTTTATAGTCACTTCCACTGTGTTTGTCTGATATGAATAACACAACACACGTTGGCAAATTATATTTGAATAGATTGTTATTACTGCTTCCACAGACATCCGTGTGTATTTTACAAACTCCAAATGTATTGTTTTACTAGTGCTTATGTGTATTTCAGTGTCTGAAACCTAAAATAAACATTATGAGGTTGAAAACACTGCACGTTTTGATATATGACAGCGCTGAGCTCGTCCGTCTCTGGCTCAGTGCCAACCAACCCGCGAATCTGGTAGTGATGTCACGTCACTGAACATTATACATCCCATATGGGACCGTACCGCTCAAAAGGTAAATTTCATTGCTAATTTGATCTAATATTTGATGTTTTTAAAAATGTGGTACCGTAGATTTAAACAGAACTGTGACTTTACTCTGTATTCTCGTTGGCATAACACACGCGACCGCATACAGTCACTTCTCACTTCCCGCAATACACAAGAGACTCTCTTAAAGTGACAGCATAACATAAACTAGAACCTTCCTTAAAGGCAGGGCCAGCGCTCCGCACACGCACATCACGCGCTGCGCGTAGGGCACCAAGTGCTTGGGCGGGCACCAAAAAATCTGGGTCGTGAAAAATCATCACAATAGGCTACTAGTATAAATAACAAATAAAATATGTCTAAAGCATGTTAATATACAAAAGCAATACAAAAGTAATATAGGCCTAGACCAAATTAGTCGAGAAAAAGGTGAATCTCATTTTTCGTCTCCCTCTGGTGCCCCTAACCCCCCCTTCCCCACCTCCCAGTGGTCTGTTCGATTATGCCTCAATCAATGTCAAATTTGGCAGACACCGACCTCAGACATGGCCTCGGAAAGGCACCAAGAGTCGGGGGCGAAAAAAGGAAAAAGAATAGACAGCGGGATGATACTCGCGCGTCGCTTTGCAGGTAAGACAATGTTTTAAATAAAAATGTTAGTTTTGTAGCGCGGGCGCCCTTGCGTTGTGTATGCATGTCCAGGGGGGCGTCGCCAGTAGTGCAAATGAAATGATCCGTGGCTTTTTTAGCCCTGCATGTTGAATCTTTTATTTTAACGGGGGTCCGGGGCTTTCTCCCCCAGAAAATTTTGAAACTTGGGCTGTTTAAGATGCAGTTAGTTTGTTTGAGAAGAAAAGGAAGACCGCTTAGATACGTTTTTTCGTTGTTGTTTTATGCGGATAATGCGTTCATTTTCAAGAGGTTTATAGGCCAAGGCCCAAGGGCGACATCTGTTGGTGAAACTGCAATTAGAAAAAAAAAAAACCCCACAATCTCAGTGTTTGTATGTTTTCATATTCACAGGGTTGTCAAATTATTAGGGCTGGGAAAAGATTAATCGCATACAAAATAAAAGTTTGTGTCTACATGATATGTGTGTATACTGTGTATAATTATTTTGTATTTATATAAATACACACACATATGCACGTATATATTTAAGAAATATTTGCATGTATATACTGTATATATTTATATATAATTTATATTATATATAAATTTAAATATTTTATATATAAATAACAAATATTTCTTAAATACATACATGCAAATGTGTATTTATATACACTACCGTTCAAAAGTTTGGGGTCAGTGAGAATTTTATTTTTATTTTTTGGAGGAAAGAAATCAATACTTTTATTTATCAAGGAATAGTTAATTTGATTGAAAGTGACAGTAAAGACATTTATAATGTTACAAAAGTCTTTTGAACTTCCTATTCATCAAAGAATCCTAAAAAAAAAAAAAAAAAAAATGTACAACTGACAGACCAACAACTGTTTCAACATTTGATAATAATAATAAATGTTTCTTGAGCATCAAATCCTCATATTATACTGATTTGTGAAGGATCATTTGACACTGAAGACACTGACACTGGTGATGCTGAAAATTCAGCTTTGATCACAGGAATAAATTACACTTTACTATATATTCACACAGAAAACAGCTGATTTACACTGGAATAATATTTAATACTATAACTGATTTTTGTTGTATTTTTAATCAAATAAGCGCAGCCATGGTTAGCAGAAGAGAATTCTTTTAAAAGTATTTAAAATCGTACCGACCCCAAACTTTTGAACGGTAGTGTATATACAAAATAATTATACACAGTACACACACATATATCATTCATGTAGACACAAACTTTTATTTTGGATGCGATTAATCGCAATTCATCTTTTCCCAGCCCTACAAATTATGTACAGAATTATTATATTGTGCTTCATCAGACTAAGAAATTCTGAATGGTTGTTATTCCTTGGGTGGGTGAGGGGGTGAGTGGGGTGGGGGGGCACCACCAAGCATTTGTGCTTAGGGCACCCAAATGGCTAGCGCCGGCCCTGCTTAAAGGTACCATAACTCATTATCATAACAGGCACAATAATTAACATGTTAATAAACAGCCGGCTGACTTTTCCATTTGTTGACACCATAGGGTTAGATTCAGATGGTAAATGTCATATATTAAGCTAGGTGTCCACCTTAGAGATAATCACCATATTTAAAAAATATGATATTAATCATATCATTTAATAAAATATAATATATTGTTACTAATGTAAATCTATATTAAATGAGTATCTCCTTCAATGCTTTCGAAATCTTTACTTTTTAAAATAATTTTGTTTCTGTATTTTTAAAATATATTTTTACATTAATATATTTTAATGACAGTATATTTATTGAACAAAAATGATTTATGTATTTATTTAAATTAACCGAACCTAGTACAAACTTTGCTAAAGTGATTGTTTTGAACAAGTATGAACTATTATACACATTAAATTAGCTAAAGTATTTGTATCAATACTGTGTGCCCACATTGCCAACTCATACATTTATAAGAGTTTTAAACAAATAAACCACTTTTTTGGTTTATTTTCACTCAAAATCTGTTGCTGCATTAACGTTCAATACAAACACATATATATTTTTGCAATCATAAACTATAGGAGTAGTGAAACGCACATTTTTCTCAAGGTTTGCCTTTATCCCCGCTGTACCCTATACATTTAACTAATTTTGATTATAGCTTTTATTATATGTATAAATTATTATTAATTAAGATGAATAAATGATGTAAAAGTGTTATTTCAAGTTATCTTTGAATCTTAATGTGTTACGAAACAAGCTGCTGTTATTTGACACAGAATCCAGGCATGATGGTAACACTTTACAATAAGTTCCCATCATTCAAAGTGCATTAAATAACTATAAACAGTACATTTGTTACTGTATTTATTCTTCTTTGTTAAAGTTAGTCAATAAAAATGCAACTGTTCATTGCTAGTTCATCAAGTCCTTTAAATAATATTAACTTTTGATTTTAATAATGGGTAACACTTTATTTTAAGGTGACGTAGTTACACGTTACTACATGTACTTACTATAGTAATAACAGTAAATTATGCATGATTACAAGTAACTAACACTAAACCAGACCCTAACCCTCTATAGTAAGTACATGTAGTTGGATATTACTCAGTACTTATTTGAGTTAAGTAAAGTGTAGCTATGTCACCTTAAAAAAAGTGTAATTATTAAATGTTAAATTAACAATAACTAAGATTAATAAATGCATTAGAAGTGTTTTTCATTGTTATTTCATGTTAACTGATGTTAATAAATGGAACTTTATTGTAAATGTATAATTGTAAGGCAAATGACAATAACATAATTACGCCTGTAACCTAGCGATGGAAAACAAAACAAAATGTGCTGCAGACTTATAGCTTTTATACTCTGCAGTTTACAGTTTAGTGCAGTGATAGCTAAACTGTGTTCAAAACGGCAAGCATAAAGCAACATTACTACAGAAATTATGCTTCTTACCTGCTGTGATTGTATCTCTGTCTCTCCAAACAGGTTAGAGCCGAAGACAGTCCCGTCTGTAAGTCTCAGACACTAGCATGTGTGCACTTCATTACAGGCCGTCTGTGTCAAGGATCCGTCCATGTGAATAATGCACAAGCTTCTCTCAGAAACCCTGTAAGTAAAAACCAGCAGGGTAAGCGTGACTCACCTCATTTCCTCCGAGTAGAGAGCACTGCTTGTGGAGTCTGAAACCATGGCCTTCACGAGGACGGCTTTGTGTTGCTCGATCTCCAGGCAACAGAGATGTGTCGTCCCGCCTGCTAGTTTTATTGCTTTGTTGTAGGCTTGCTGAGTGAGGAGCACGGAGCTTGTTTTCTTATTAGATGTGTTCGATTTTCATGCATAACTGTCAGTATGCATGCTATTGTAACAGAATATTTTGCAGCGCTAACCTTTACCCTTTCTGGTTTTAACTTTGAGACCAGCACATGGCAGAGAGCCAGATTTTAAAGGGATAGTTCACTTTGAAATTCATTTTTGGTATGTTTTAGCTTACCTCAAGGGCATCCAAGATGTAGGTGTCTTTGTTTCCGCTGTAGTTTCAATTTTGATCATTTTAGGTCAAACCGTTCTTGTCTGTCAGTCATATAATGCAGGTCTATGGTCACCACCTCAAAGAGCATGCACAGAGAAGTCCAAATTAAACATGATTTAATGACTCGTAAATGTAAGTACACATTGATGGCCTAAGACACGAAACGAGCGCTTTGTGTGAGAAAACCAACAGTATTTATATCGTTTTTACCTCTTGTAAACACAGCCACGTCCAAGTGATCTGAGGGCGCGGGCGCTTCGGTCTTTTCCGGAAAGCGCCGGAAGTGATCTCGCGCGCGTGTGTCACTCATTGTTTACACAGAACAGAGATTGTAGGTAAGACGGCTAATTAAAATGGTACTAATTTGCGCTTATCCGGGATGTTTAAACCATCGTAAAAGAAAACAATTAAAAAAAATAAAAATAAAACAATTGTATGAGTGACGTACACGCGCGAGAGATCACTTCCGGCGCTTTCCGGAAAAGACCGAAGCGCCGGCGCCCTCAGATCACTTGGACGTGGCTGTGTTTACAAGAGGTAAAAACGATATAAATACTGTTGGTTTTCTCACACAAACCGCTCGTTTCGTGTCTTAGGCCATCAATGTGTACTTACATTTACGAGTCATTAAATCATGTTTAATTTGGACTTCTCTGTGCGTGCTCTTTGAGGTGGTGACCATAGACCTGCATTATATGACTGACAGACAAGAACGGTTTGACCTAAAAATATCAAAATTGAAACTACTGCGGAACCAAAGACACCTACATCTTGGATGCCCTTGAGGTAAGCTAAAACATACCAGAAATGAATTCCAAAGTGAACTATCCCTTTAAACTATTCCTTTAAACTCAACTTTTTACAGTATGATTTTAAATGATTCCATAATTAATGTTTCACACATACAAAGAGACGTCATCAGTTTTATTTAATTGGTTTTGTTAGTTTGTTGTTGTCTGGTCATTTTACATAGTATGACCTATATTTTACAGTAAGTGGAGAAAACGGTACACTGTTAGATAAGTTTACAGGTATGCCAGAGTATCGTCATGCATGGAATATGATATATCTGACAGTATGAATCCCAACTAGATTTATTTTTGACCTGTTAAGTATAACATTTCACTTGCAGTCGCAAAATATCACTACATTTGCCATTGCATTTTACCACCAAGAGAGGGCAGTAAACTGCTGTGATGGTCATTCATCTGATTGATGATGCAAACGTATTTTGAAAGCATTCATTAGAGATCATGCATCATTATTTCACTACTTGAGTAAGTAAAAAAAAAAAAGCATTTGTTTTGTACATTTCTTGAAATACAATTCCTGGTAAGGAAATAAATGTAATATGAACAATTAAAATGTGCTATAACTTTAACCCTTGTTTTCCCGGAAAGGCAATGCATGTTTGAGCTGTCTTACTGAAAGCAACTTGCCCAGACAGACCTTAAAATATGCCAGTGCCATTGTTTTGTCTCAAGATGCACATTAGTAATGTTTTTTTCTAAGGCACATTTATAAATGCCCTAATTGAACTAAGGCCTAATCCTGGCTTAGCCCTGTCTGTGAATCCGGCCTTAAAGTCTTGTTTTAAACGGCAGATTTGCTTATTTTTCTTCACCTCAATCTTTAATCTCCGAGTCATGAGTAAAGTTGGCTTACTTAGATGTCTAGGTGAGTTGTGACTCACTTACAGTCATGCAAAAATATCACTACATTTGTCATTGCATATAAACTGCTTTGATGTTTATTTACCCGATTGATGATGCATGCAACAATATTTCAGAAGATCATGCAAATTGCATTGAAATTGTACTATTTGAGTAAATAAAACTAAATGCATTTTCTTGGAAATCACTTGAATATTGAATATCTTAAAATGCTAAAGTCTTGTTTTAAACTGCAACTTTGCTTGTTTTTTTTTTTACCACCTCAAACTTTTAACTCTGAGTCATTAGTAAAGTTTGAGGTGAGTTATGACTCACTTAATCCATCTATTCATCAAAATACAAAGTACATTCAGTGTGACTAATGGGCAGACTTCACCTCAGGTCACCTGCAGGTCTGATCTAGGTCATCTGGGTACGGTGACGGCGGCTGGTCTGGATATTTACAGTATATCCCCTCATTTTGCTAAAGGACGCGTGTCGTTCTGCTGAGTAGGATGTGTTCCCGGATCAACGTACTGGTTAGGTTAGGGTTTGAAATAATAGCTATGTTTATTTGCTCCAGGACCAACAAAACATTAGAACACGAAATACTTGGAGAAATCATGGTCACTCACCCAGAATGCTGTCTTTATCTAATAAATGGCTATATATTGAGTGTTATTATTGGTATATATTGTGTTATTTTGGCTACAGATGAATGCAGACTGCACAATTAAATAGTATTTTTTAGCATTAAAACAAAGCTCTCTTTGAACCTTTTGCGCACTATAACAATCTATTATTATAATTTTTTTGGCTTAGTGTTTCTTCAGATGCTTTAGCGCATCTATCGCTAAATTAAACATTAATATCCTCTCCAAAAGACCATCAGCAAAGTGCATGTGTGGGAAAGGTGATCTAAGGGACGTTTCAGAGCTTCCTCACACACCGCTGCTTCACACTTACACGGACACGCAAGGATCTGGTTTCTGAGAAGCCCGACACCCTCTTGTTTTCTCCGGCTCATTCTGTGTCGTCTCCAGTTTGGAAAGCTTGGGTGATCAGTGATGATGGGACACAGGAGATTTGTGACCACTGGGAAATGAAGCTTGCTGGCAACAGTTAATGATGGGAAAGTAATCACTGTACAATGGAGTTGTGTTGTCTTTACAAAATTCTTTGAATTTTTTTTTTCATCCACCAGGAGAAGGTCAAATCTTTTAGAAAAGTAAAAGCTGCCCTAAATAGAAATTACGGTATATTTGGATATGCTGTATGTAAGGACCCATGGTTTTAATGTATTTTTATTTATTTATTTTCACATAATCATTTGACCAGAAGACATACGTCTTGCACAGAAGTAACTTTTCATTGTCCAAAGATGTATTTTACTTAACTGGATTAAGGATAAACCACCACCACTATAGCAAAAAATACAGCACTGCATAGAAAAATTAACTTAATTCAAAGAGGCAATTTTTTTCTCTTGTTTTCAGCATAAACTCACTTAATATTCATAATTTGTTTCAGGAAGCAAGACTTACTATGTTACGTTTACCCTCCCCTTGTGTAATCACACACTTCATAACTGATGTGACTTTATGAATTCGTACTTTCCTGTTTTGAAATAGCCTAGATTTAGCTCTGTCTTGTATTATCCGTTACACTTTTAAGGTGTGTTATAAGCTCTAAGATGGTCTCTGGAAAACTGGCAAATGGACGTTTGTTTGAATCAAGGATGTGGTTTTTGCTCAGACCTCAGCTGACCTGCTTCATAAATGTTTACCTGGATCCCGTTCAAAGAATCTCGTCTGAGACTCATCCCATGGTCAAAAATGGAAACCTTTCTTTTATGAGTTAATTCAAACCGTGTCTACTTTTAGTATAACGTTTCACTGGTTTTGGCGTGTCTCCCCAGACTTATTTTAGGTTTATTTAGGTCATGTTAAAGCAACACAAGCAATGTTTTTTTCCCTCAACTGGTGAAATACTGAAGGTGACGCATGACTGTTACAAATTTCAACAAACTCTAGTATGACGTGTTGTGTGTAAATCACCAGTTGTGTCCTGCAGTCAGTAAAATATTGTTTGCATGTACGACTAAGACTATAATTGATGGTGTGTACACACTGGCATTGCTCTTTTGTTAGCTGTGTTAAAGGGATAGTTCACCCATAAATGTAAATTCTGTCATCATTTACTCACCCTCCAAACCTGTACGTAAACCTTTATTCAAGTTATTTTGTCGTGAAATGTAACTATATTATCGCCCAGCTCTTTATGTAAAGTTGGATATATAAGTATGTCCAACTTCATCGACATACAAACAGTTTAGGCAAATATATTAAATAGCAAATCTCAACTGCTTAATTGCATGTGTTGTCACTAAATCTGTGACTATAAGGCATGAATATATGAGGATATTAAAAAAATCATAATTTTCCGAAAAAGCACTATACAAAAAAAATGAAATATAACTTGACTTGATTTGAAGATACTTTAAAATTTATAATCATAATTTTTACTAAACTGTTTAAACTGAAACTAAACTGTTTCTATGTCGATGAAGTTGGACATACAAAAAAAATAAAAAATAACTTTTTTTGTCCATTCAGTGAAAGTCAATGGGGTCCAAAATTGTTTTAAAAAGATTCTTCAAAATATCTTCTTTATATCCGAATAAAACATTGAATATAGGTTTTGAGAGTGAGTATGTCAACATTTTTGGGTGAACTATCCCTTTAAGACTACAATTGTCAACAGGAACAGTAAGAGATAGCATGAAATATCACGGATTGACACTTCATCTTTTAGATTTACCATTATATTAATATGAAAGGACTACAGATACGTATTTCTCTCCACACTGCTTTCTTGACTTCTGAACGAGACCTCCCATTTAAACACAAACACATATGAAAATTTGCCTCATGCAATCCCACAAATCACAGTTCACACACGAACCCTCTCAGAAACTGAACATGACTCTTTTCTTTAGATACAGAGTTTGCAAATGATGCACAC